TTGTACAACTGTCTTCTCAGCGAGCAGCAAGTCTCACTGAGTCTTAAGTTCAAGTCCAATCAAGATGCATGATGTGACTTTTGAAAGGATACAGACAGGATGCCCACTTAGGAACTTCCTCCTAATGTTTTACTCTGGCTCCGCTGTAAACTGCCCAGATACTTCAGCTAAGGGCCCGTATAGGAATGAAGTTATATACGTATGAACATACATACATAGCCTCATAACGGCTATATTTTTGAGGTGGCATTTTTCACATTACCAGGAGGCGTTTCTGCCCCGTGGCTAATGCTGGCTGTGTGACTGAGTTCTTCTGCGGCAGAAACACCCCTTTTGGCATTTCCAAACTGAATTTCTTCATTCTCATGTGCAGCGCCAGCTCAGGTCACCAGAGGAACCACAGAACACATTCCTGAAGGTGCCACACCAGACTCCCGTGGGAGCACGACGACACACATCACAGAACCGACTGCAGGCATGGCGGGGGGCTCCGCTACTCAAACCCTGGGAAGGGGCACACCCAGCACCCCAGAAAGTACCCACGGAGGCACCTTCACCATCCACACTGCTGGGAGCACCATTGGTGGCCTCCTTGGAAGTGCTGTGAGCTCCCCCACAGGAGGCAGAGCCACTCGCGTTCCTGGAGGTGCTACAAGCGACAGCTCTGCAGGTGCTGCTGCACATCGCCCTGGAGATGTGCCCTCCACCCAGGGCAGACCCGGAAACACCACAGGTGGCTCTCCTGGAAGTGCTGCAACAGATACTGCAGGAGAGGCCACAGGGGAGATCCCTGGAGGCACTGCAACGCTGATGCCTGGGGGTTCCACGGGAGACACCTCCAGTGGTTCTGCAGCAGACAACCCGGGAGGGACCATACGGCGCATCCCTCCAAGCACGCCCAGCAGCATCCCTGCAAGCTACGTATCTGCTAGTGCCACCACACACACCTCCAGAACAGCTGCAACTCACAGCTCTGGAGGGTCAGGCAGGGAGATCCCAGGAGGAACTGAGACGCACAGGCCAGGAGGCACCGCAGCTCACACACCTGGAAGTGTTCCTGGCAATATACTGGAAGGTACAGCAGATTATGTCCTTGGAAGGACCACTAGAAATATATTGGGAGGAGCCTCATATAGTATCCCCAAAGGCACCACTGGAAAATTTCCTGAAGATGGCACTGGCAGCATCCCTGGAGATGCTGCAGATGTCAGGCCTCAAAGCCCCGCAGGTGTTCCATCTCCAATGCCCCGAGTTTCCCCTGGCAACATCTCCAGAAGCACCTCTGGCAACTTCCCTGGAAGAACCACAGTCAACATTTCTAGAGGATCCATGGGCGACATTCCCAGAAGTATCACTGGCAACATCTCTGTGGGAGTCATGGTCAACGTCTCTGCAGGCCCCGCAGTCAACATCCCTGTTACCACACCTGGAAACATTCCTGGAGATGCCACTCAAAGCATCCCTGGACATGCTGCTCAAAGTACTGCTGGGGGTGTCACGACTCACAGCCCTGCAAATGTTCCATCCCCAATGCCCAGAGATACCACTGGCAACATTTCCAGAAGTAGCTCTGACAACTCCCCTAGAAGAACCACAGTCAACATCTCTGGTGGCACCATGGGCCCAATTCCCAAAGGCACAATTAGCAATGTTCCTGGAGGCCCCACAGCCAACATCCCCAGGGACATCACTGGAAACATCCCTGGAGAAGCCTCTGGAAGTATCACTGGAGGTATTAGAACTCTCAGCCCTGCAGATGTTCCAACTCCAATGCCCAGACATACCACTGGCAACATTGCTGGGATCATAGCTGGCAGCTTCTCCAGAAGTACCTCTGGCAACTTCCCCGGAAGATCTGCAGACCACATTCCCAGAGGCACAACTGGCAAAATTCCCAGAGGCATTACTGGTGACATCTCTGCAGGAACTATGGCCAACATCCCTGGAGGCACCACTGGCAGTGTCCCCAGGGGGTCTAATGGAAACACTGCTGGAGATCTCATGACTCACATCCCTAGGAATGTTCCCTCTCAACACCCTGGAGGTGCCACTGGCAACTTCTCTGCAGGCGTCCCTGGCAATATCCCTGGAGCTAGCCCTGGCAATGTTCCGAAAGGCACCATGGTCAGCATTGTGAGGGGATCCACATTCACTGTCCCCGGAGGGACTAAGGCCAACATCCCCAGGAGCACCACTAACAACGCCTTCACTGGCAAGGTCCCTGGAGGCACTGCTGAGCACATCCTTGGGCATGCCACAGTCAATCATCTGGAAGGTGCTGCAGCTCACATCCTTGGAAATGGCACCAGCGATACTCCAGGGGACGCCTCAAGTAACAGTCCTGAAGGCACCAGCAGCAGCATTGCCAGTGGCTTGCCAGGCAACAACCCTGATGGCAGTGCAACCAGTGTCCCTGGCGTCGCAAACCACAGCCCCACTGCTGGGGTGGGAACCAGTATGGCTGGTGCCACTACAGGTCCTAGCACTGGAAATGCCACCAATTCTATTCCTGGAGGTGCCATGACATTGACAAGAAACTGTCCGTTCCGGTTTACCTGCTGCATGCTCCTGATGTCTTTTTTTTGCAACATTCTTATCCTAGACGGCTGCCTTTTTTGTAATACCTAAGTAAATATGCCTAAATGACTTACACTGTTCAACATGGGACAGCAAATTTGCACATCCATTTATTTCCACATGGCTGATAGCAACCTGCCACCATGTTTCTCTTCTGGCATATTCGATTTCTATTTGATGCCACAGAGAACTAATCATCCAATGGCCTGTCCAGCCAGTGGTGCGCGCTGAAGGACTGAGAGCTCCTGAGAACTCCAGCTATTTGTGCATAGTGACTGGAAACTGTTACGTGGCACCAGCCCCTGTCTTTAAAAAGATTTGGTCCTTCCGTCCTTCCTTTGTTCCTGCTCAACAATTTTATCTTCCTGAGGATATTAGAAAAAGCAAGCAAGGCTAGCAGAAGTAGAGTATTGCTCCTAGAAGGGGAATACAACTGGAGAAGTTATTATAACATATTTAATAATTCTTGGCAAACTTCTGCTGAGCAGCTCATTGGCAGGGCAGGTGGATGTCTCTTGGTGTTGTTTCCTCCACTCCCTGGGCACAGGCTGGGTTCTTTGTGCTTTTGATCTGAATACCTGCTGAGTGAAGCTTTCCATTTGTGCCAAACTTAATAGGTTGATCTATGTCCTACACATCAGATCTGCAATGTGACTGTCAGGTGGGTGAGAGGCACTTAGTGGAATCAGTAACCTGGGATTTCCAGCTTGAGCCAGGCTTGAGAACAAGCAAAAAGTAAAATTTAAAAATGCAATTTTATTTCCCTACCATTCCTCTATCCTTTTAAAAATATGAAAGAAACAGTCATTCTTCATATGCCCAGAGACACATTCTCTTTGTTTAAATTACCATTTGCCATCCAAAAAAGGCACTGTCTGCACTGAGAATAAATGTCCTTGGGCCCTTAAAACCTGCTTGGGAAAAGGTACTTTGCAAATGTTCAGGAAGAGCTTCCTTTAGGTCCTTATGAGCGAATTGTTCCTTCACTGCTTCAGAAACAGGCTTGAAGTGGCAGCTTGAAGAAGTGGCAGCGTGATATCCCCAGGAATATGTTAACGCCGCGGCAGATTCTTGGTTTACTTGGCAAAAGCAGCCTGGACAAATAGCCGTTCTGGTCCATTTGCCTGGCATGGCCCGTATCATTCTCCACAGTCATCTGGAGCTGTTTTCAGAGAAAGGCAGCCTTGCACCTGTGGCTGCTTGCCACGTGGAACCGGCCCTTGCCGGGTGAAACAATGTGATGATTCTCACTTAAAATGTCAATAAAAATCTGTCTGGCAAAAAGAGTATGTGATCTGTAGTTTCTGCCATTTCCGCCATTCACACTGCTCCGGCTACAGGAATTGCAGGGGGCTGCTATTTATGTGGGTGAAAACGGGGAATCCTTCTGGCCCAAACCTTCATTTTTCAAGGTTCCCACCGGTGCAACGCACTGCTTACTTGGTTGCAAGCGCTTTTCCACGTCAGGGTTTTACTGTTTTCACCTGCCACCTTACCGAGGCTCCTTTGTGGCTCCTGTACACACTGCCCGCCCCCCGCCGCCGCTTCTTCATCTGCCCTTTTACGGACCTCCTCGTGAGGCACCGAGGGAGTGCTTGCGATTCCTCCCTCATCCTTCAGGGCTATGAAAAGCCCCGGAACCGCCGGGTCTCGCCTGATGGGGCGCACAAAAAGGCAGAGGAGCCTCGCGAGGGAAGCGGCGCGGCGGGGTCCCGCGAAGAGGCTGCGGGCCGGGGGCGCCCTGCCGGCTCGGGCTCTGCGGGGGCCGGAGCGCCCCGGGGCCTCCAGCGGCGGGCGCGCGCCGGCTCGCAGCCTCCCCTTGCGGCCGCCGCCCGGGCAGGCAAGGGCCCCGTCTCGGAGGGCCCGCACAGCGCCTGCCCCGCCGGAGAGCGCCGCCTGCGGAACTGACTCGCAAACGGAACTCGACCGACGGCGGGCGCGGCAGGAAAGCGGCCGTGGATCCGGCGCCGCTGCGCCCGGCCTGCCCCAGGAAGACGCCGCCTGGGTGAAGCTGGCTGCGGCGGCAGCTCGGCTTGCCCTCCAGGCCTGGCAGGCTCGCGGGGGCCCGGCCGCTCGTTCTGCGCCCGGGCTGGTCGCCGCCTCCTCAGAAGGGCCGCGGAGCGGGGAGCCCGCAGAGAAGGCGGCCGCCAGCCCCCCTCGCCCTCCCTCGCATTCGGGAGCTGCACGTGCCCGCGGCCGCGCCCGCGCGCGCTCTCCCGCCCCAGCATGGCGGCTCTGGCATCGGCGCCGAGGAAGCCGCGGGCTGCCAGCGGCCCCTCCCCACGGCCTGACACGAGGGGCCGGGCTCCGCCCTCTCGCCGCGCGGCACCAGCTGCGGCGTCGCTTTGCGGCAGGAAGGCGGGCCGTGGGCGGCGCGCTGCGGCCTTTCGCGGCAGTGCGGCCTGGCGCGCTCGCCCCGGCGCTTTACGGGAGTGTTGCGCGGGGGTGCCGGGCGCTCCGAGATGGCGTCGCCCTTCAGCGGGGCGCTGCAATTGACGGACCTGGACGACTATATCGGTCCCTCGCAGGTGGGCGCCGGGGGCCAAGCGGGACGCTCCGCTCCAGGCCGGCTTGCCTGAGATGCCCTGGCGAATTTGTGGCAGAGGCGATATTCTAACGGGGGCTTTTCTCCTGCGCCCCTCGACTGCATTCGTCCTGAGGACAGCAGCGCCTCTGGGCATGTGCAGAATGTGTCGATTACTTTCTGTTGGCTAACCGTTGCTAACCAAGACAATCCAGGCTTGGAGCAAAGGGGCGGGGAATTCAGAGAGCCCTTGTGAGTTCCCTTGGGAAGGGCTGATGACACGGCCGTGCAGATGGGGAGGTGGCAACTTCTTTCACGTTTTTAAAAAATTCCACCCTGCCCCCCATTTTTAGAGTGGCATTGCTTCTCCTCCTCCTCCCCTTCCCGTCAACAGGTGGGTCAGGCTGGGAGGGAGAGACTCACCCCATGAGTTTCATTGCTGAAGATTTCAATGCGTATCTCTGGAGCCCAGGGGTGGGAAAGTACACCCGTGGATTGATTCCAACATTCCAGGGTTCCTTAGTTGACCACACCTGTTTCCACCTCCTTTATTTATAAATCAGATTTATACCCTGCCATTTTTCCTTTCGAGGAACTCAAAGCATAATTCTCCTCCTCCTGGCAGTCATCCTAACAACAATCCTGTGAGGTGGACTGAGAGTCTGTGACTGGCCCAAGACCACCCAGTGAGCTCTGTGGCAGAGAGGGGACTAGGCCCCAGATCTGCAGTGCTCTTAACCACCACACCTCAGTGGTCTTTCCCCAGACTGTTAAGTGTTTGCTAGCTCCCCAGCTTTTGTGGTTTTCTTCTCAGTCTAAAAGGCTGAAATGCCCCCCCTGAAGTTTCATTTCTGGCAGCAAGAGCTTTAAGCTAACATTTGCTGGTCGCTTCCCTGGCTTTGGCCCTGCCCAGTTTTCAGTCGGCCCCACCCATGGCAGCTCCAGAGAGTTTCCGTGACATGGCATCTGGCCCTTGGGCTGAAAGAGGCTCCCCACACCTGGCTTAGTCCCTGGCCAACACTATCCATGTGCCACACTGGTTTTCCATAGGCTGCAGAGTATTTGGAAGTGTTGGGGGTGGGGGTGTTCTGTGAGCTTTGACCCAGTGTGCAGATTTGGAATGTCCTTTAATTCATACTCAAAATGGGCAGCCGCTGCACTAGATAGACCCCTCCTCCCCCCATCTGTTTTGGGAGTAGCTGATGGGTAGTCACAGAAAAGCAATATTTGCAACCCCATGCAAGAGCTGTACGGAGCTGTGCAGGTTGAGGCTTGAGGTGCCTATTTCTGTCAAAAGCCAGAGGGCAACTCATTGGGATTAATCATGGTCTACCGTGCCTTTGTAGGTAAGGGTAGGTACCTCTGTGGCTCACGTATCAGGATTTTTCCTAAAGAACTAAATAGCAGGCTGGAGGGAAGGCTGAGCATCACTCCAGTCTCTTGAGATGTCTGATGCAGGAATTTCAGGACTGTCAGGTGACTTCAGAGTGATGCAGCCTGGCAAAAAACCCCAAAAGCCTTTTTGCCTGGGTGCAGTTTGTCTGCAAGGTTTGCTTGCGCTGTTTCTTACGGGGGTTTTGCTGTGTTTGCCTTTGTCACCCGGTTTCTGTTTCAGGATTGCATAAAACCCATCAAGGTTGATAAGAAGCCTGGGCAAGGAGCAGCCAAGATCCGCATTGAAGATGACGGGACTTATGTTCAGATCAATCAGGTGAAGCTTTCTTCCTCCGTCAGATCATGCCATCGGTACAGAGTAAGGCTGCATCCCGCAGTTATGTCTCTGTTGGGGCCAGCCGTTCTGCAGCACCGCCCCAGTTTTGGCAGCCCTGAAAGGGAAGGGAGGCTGGGGTTGGAGAGCAGCTTTGCGGATGCCCTTTCAGGCACCGGGAGAAGTGCACCGTTGCTGTGGCTGTGTTGCTTCACCAAAAGGCAAGGCTTCTCTCCCACCCTCTTCCCTGTGGACCTCCTGTGTGTGGTCCTGTGGCGTGGAACCAAAGGACAGGACAGCAGGCCAGTGTTTCCAGTGTCCACACACTTACACAGCCTTCCTCGGCCTTGTGCCTTCCAGGTGTGCTTGAACTGCAGCACCCAGAATTCCCAGGTAGTGGCCATGCAGGATGGGGATTCTGGGAGTTGTGGTCCAATGCCTCTGAAGGCCACCAGGTTGGTGAAAGCTGATCTAACAGAAAGCGCTTTGTGAGACAGGATGAACGTTTCTTATTGTCTCCAATAAGTTTCAGGAGTAGGGACTGCCAGGAAAAGTTAAAGTGATTTTTCCCAATGGTTGCAGACTGGTCTGTCTCTCCCTTAGGATGGAGCATCACAAAAACTCGAGAAGGCCAAAATTACTCTGAATGATTGCTTGGCTTGTAGTGGCTGCATCACATCGGCTGAGAGTATCTTAATCACTCAGCAGAGCCATGAAGAATTCTCCAGAGCGTTAGACACCAAGATGGTAAGGGAGCCATGGATGGGCGTCAGCATATGAGTAGCAAGGGCTGAGGTCCTGGGTGGGGACTTTCTCATCCAGTTTCTGCAGGGGAAATCTGCAGTCGTGAGTCTGATCTCCCATTTTTCTGGGGATCCTGGAAGACTTGACTTTTTCTTTTGCCTAGGTTGTTTTTGTCTATTCCCTGCCAGGGAGGCTATAAGTGGTTCAGAGCAAATCATAGCGGAGTTTTTTAAAAGCTAGGTGTCACATGTTCAAAACATTTCTTCTGCTTTTCATCAGATTAGATCCCCAACATAATATATTCAAAAATAATCCAACCATCTTAGGCTACAAAATGCTGTTGAGCAGCCCAAGAAAGGTGCCAACAAATATTAATGTAATATGGGTGGTATTTTTTAAGTCCTCAGGTTCTGCTCAGAAGAAGTTGGTCGTCGTGTCGGTGTCTCCACAGTCCAGAGCTTCACTTGCTGCAAGATTTAAACTGACTCCATTAGACACGGCTAAGAAATTGACGGCGTTCTTGAAAGGGTTAGGTAAGCCATGCTTCCTCTGAAGCAGGTAGCTGAAGGAACCCAGACCTCCGCAGAGACTTTCCCTTCTCCTGCCAACAGGTTTATCTTTTGGATGCAAGTCCCAGTCTTTTCCCTCAGCATTTAGAAGCCTATGAGGCGGTTTTAATCATGTTTTCATTTTTCTTGCTGTTCAAAATTGCTTTTAGAGATGTGTGTGTCTTTCTGAGGGCTGTTTATTCCCATGTCCGTATGCATATGGTTCAGGGTTTTATAATGCATCTTTCTGGTTTTAATCTTTGTAGAGAGCTTTGGCGGTTGGGCAAGACAGAACAGTGAGACATGGGATGGTGGCTCAGTGGCTCGCCTCCCCAGGCCTGGCTGGGAAGGATTCTTGCCGGAGACGCTGGAGAGTTGTGGGGTTAGCAGGCTAGGTGGACCCAAGGCCCAACTTGGCACACGGCGGCTGCGGTGGGTGTCAGTCCAGACTGCCGACAGCTGCCTCTGCTTCCAGCCGGAAGGGCTCGGTATTTCTGCTGGCCAGTCCCCGTGTCCAGCGAACAGATGATCAGGACACACCCACCAGTGACCAGGTTTGCTTTCCCATCCAGCCACCTTCTTCTCTCACTTTTCAGTCTAGCCGTTCCAGTACTTGCGCCGGTTTTTCTTCTTTTCTGAGGAATATTTGGGGGTGGGGGGTTGTTCTGTGTGCAGAAGATATAAACATAGAAACAGAGCAAGTCGGAAGGGGCCTATTGGGCCATCTAGACTGACCCCAGCTCCAGCCGGCTCCACTCATGACATGCCCACCATGGGCATGTCTAGCCCATCCTTGAACACCCGCACCGATGGGGCCTCACAAGATGTGTGTTTGTTGTGGCGTGTCTTGTGGCATGCCTGTCAAGCCGAGCGTGGCATGTGAATTGGAGGAGTGGCTCTAGAGGACTGACGGGAGCTGGCCCCAGCCTCAGCGACCCCTGAGCAAGCCGCAGGCCATGCCTGACACCCGGGCAGTTGGCCTCTCCCACTCTTCCTTGCTAGGGGTGGACTTCGTCTTCGACACGACATTCTCGCGGAGCTTCAGCCTGCTCGAGAGCCAGCGCGAGTTTGTGAGGCGCTTTCGGAGGCAGGCGCAGGATAAGCAGGCCTTGCCTATGTTGGCAGCCGCCTGCCCAGGTGAGGCGTCCAGAGAGCGGGGCGGGATTGCCACCCGGGCCATGGCGGCGCATAGCGTCCCGCTCAGCTCAGGCGGTGCCTTGGGAGGGAGCTGCGGCACTGTGCTGAGCCCCCCCGATCGGCGCCCCTGGCGCGGGCAGTGCCAAGCTTGATGGGCCAGAGCTGGCTCCCGCTGCCCTCGGAGATGCTCCCCCCACTTCCGTTGGGATTGGGAGGCCTGGCCCGACCCGCCAAGTCGCAGTCTTTGTGGCGGTCGCTCCTGCAGCCGGCCTGGTGCTTGGCACCCCTCCCCGCCCCCCAGCTTTGCCGTGACCGGGCAGGCCCGCGGGAGGCTCCTGGGCTCCGCGCACTGGTGGGCGGTGGTGCTAGATGGTGGACCTGCACGAAGGACGGCCTTCCTCGCTCTCCTTCAGGCTGGATCTGCTATGCTGAGAAAACCCACGGGAGCTTCATCATTCCACACCTCAGCACGGCCAAGTCACCCCAGCAGGTTATGGGGTCCCTCGTCAAGGGCCACTTTGCCAGGCAGCACGTGAGTCTGTTTCTCAGTCTACCGGGGGGTGGGGTGCTTGACTGGAAGGTCTGGAGGCCAAAGCCGCTGCCGCAGGAGCTGGCGAAGGGCCGCCCGTCCCCTCCTCGCCCAGTGAGGCGCAGAGGCCCTGCCCCCCGCCCGCAGGAGGGCAGGGGACCTTGTCTGACAGGGCCGCTGAGCCAAACCGTAGCAGCTGCCCCGTGCTGTGGGAGTGCTGGCCGTGGCTGCGGGAGGAGCAGAGCCGCAGGGCAGCGGGCCGGGGGAGCGTCCGTTGTGCAGAGCGGTGGGGGCAGCTCTCGGCCACTCTTCGCATCGGTTGTTCGTGGCACCTCCCTGCCGCTCGCTCCAGGTCCTGGGCCAGTGCTGCTGGAGACTGCGCCTGCCCTGGCGGCTCGCTTGTGCGGTCTGGGGCAAAAGCGCTCACTGTTAAGGGAACAGGGATTTGGGCTGGAAGGCCTCTTGCTCGCTTCAGCGAAGCAGCCGTCCTTGCTAGCCAGGACTAGGGCGGGAGATGGCAAACTGAAGCTGCAGGAAGGCGAGTTTCAGTTGTCCCTCAGGTGGGTCCAGATGGTCCAACTGGGACCGGGGGAAGGGACCCCCTGTGCTGGGGGCGTTCACGCAGGGACGCCTTCAGCGGGATTCTGGCTCACAGCCGGGTTCAAGTTTCTGCAGTTCTTCTCTTCTAATTCTCGCTCCTAGCATGTGACGCCTGACCAGATTTACCACGCGACCATAATGCCTTGTTACGACAAAAAGCTAGAGGCTTCCAGGCCAGATTTCTTCCTCCAGGCACACCAGACACGGGAGGTGGACTGCGTGATCACCACAGGTGAGGCACGCTGGGAGCGGAGGCTTGGCCAGGGGCTGGATTAGATCTGCTTCCCTGGCCCCTTCTCTGCAGGGAGTGCTCGCTTGCAGTGCAGCCCTGCCCCCGGAGGAGCGTGGGGGGCTCAGGCCTGGGGGGCACAGCTGGCCTGCCAAGGGGCACGTGCTGAAGAGGAAGTCGGCCTCGCCACCTGATACAACCTCTAGGGTGGGGGGAAAGTTCCCCCATTCTTATTTGCCCCCTGCCTTATCCCAGCAGCGCAGGGCAGCTGAATGAGATTTTTCACAGCCAGAGTAGTGGACTTGTGGCATTCCAGCGATTCAGAAGGTGGCAAAATGGAAGCGTGGCCGGTATTTTTTTCCGCTGCTGTGCACTACAGCCCCATGAGAGGATCACGTGACTGCTGGTTATTGTTTGATGCTTCCTTTCTGGCACTTTCTCTTGCCTTCCTTTGGCTGCCGGAAGCAACATCTTGGCACGTGTGTTGTGTTTCAGGAGAGGTACTGAAGCTGCTGGACAAGAAGGGTGCTTCCCTTTCTGAAGTGGATCCTGCCCCTTTGGACAGCATGTGAGTTTCAAGTCTGGCTGAACTTGCACCTGGCCACTTGCTCAGTGTCTGGAGTTAGAGGGAGCCCTCTGCTCCCTCCCCGCCAGGGAGAAGGCACTGCTCTTGGTGGCGCTTGCCCAACAAAGGCCCCAGGTGGCTCGAATAAGTGAGCCAAGCCCTATGCCGCAGGAAGGGGAAGGCAGAAAATGCTCCTAGGGATTATCTAGGCTGATGGGTGGGGCAGATTTTTGCCTCAGATATGGCAGTAATGGACAGAAGTCTCCCCACACTTAAGTGCTTTGAAATGCTTGGCTGGCCCTTCCAAGCTTGGCAAGTTCTGCTTGAGAGGGGAGCATCTCTTGGGCCCAGCAGTGGGCCAGAGCGGCTGCTCATTTCTGGGGAAAGCACAGGATTGTGCACTGAATGCAACATGCCGAGCAAGTTCAGCTGCTTTGCTCTCTCTGGGGCCTGCTGCGACCCCAGAGTGCAGGTGAGGCGAGGGCTGAGCAGGCTCCTTGTGAGGGGTGGCAGTGCCTGCGTCCCCCGGGGGGCCGCAGTTCCGCTGGTGCGGTGCCTTCCTGCACGCACGTTCAGTGGCTGCGGGGCTCGCCTTGGCAGGCGCACCGCTGGGCCTCTGCTCTCCAGGCTGCTGGGCAACCTTCCTTCCCCTGCTCCTAGGTTCGGCAGCCTTCCTGCAGAGCAGCTGGCGGGGCATTCTGGGGGAGGTTCTGGGGGCTACCTGGAGCACACCTATAGGTATGCGGCGAGGGAGCTCTTTGGCGTGCAGGTGGAGCAGCTGCAGTACAAGGCGCTCAGGTAAGGCGCTTGGGACCCCATCCAGGCGAGCTGCTGCTCCCTTCTAAATGAGGACGCCACAAAGGCCGGCTTGTTCGCGTGGGGGGGAGCCTTGGCGGTGCCTGGCAGCAGTTCAGGCTGCAGTGCGGTTGCTGACACCCCGTTCCTCAGGGCCATGACGAAAAGCATTGGCAGCAGGGTGAGAAGCCAAGGGGGCTTGTGGTCAAGCGAAATCGGACCTGTTGGCCATTCTGCAGTGGCGGAGCTTTGCTTGCTTGCTTTTGTGTGGCTCCTGTGAATGGACAAAACAAGATCTAAATTGGCCTGCGCTGCTTCCAGGAGGTACTTTGATGATGCTAGCTCCCTGCCTCACTCCCAGAATTTTATGGTGGAGGCCCAGGTGCTCATACTCCTTTCGTAGCCCTTTCGAGGTTTCCCACAGCTTCTTCCAACCTTTTTTGTTACTGTGGAAAATTCATCAAGGAGGAAGAGCTTGAAGGACTGGTGGAATACATTTTGTGGGGCCATGGTCCATCCGGAAGCGTCTCAGGTGCAGGTGCTATGGGGACAGCTTGGGCCCCTGGACCTCATGGGCCTGGCATCACTGGAACCCGCAAACAAGTCTTTTCTCCCCCAGAAATTATGCGGGCCGTCCCATTCTGCCGCCACCCCCCACACCCCACGCTGAGGGCGCCTTTCAGGCTGCAGTGGCATAGCCGGCAGCTCGTGTCTGGGGGAAGAATTGGTGGTTTCATGTTACCGATTCCTTGTTGTGAGGGTTCCTTAATCTCCCCTCCCTGCAGAAACAAGGATTTTCAGGAAGTGATGCTGGAGAAGGATGGGGAAACAGTCTTGCATTTCGCTTTGGCATATGGATTTCGGAACATTCAGAACTTAGTGCAAAAACTGAAGCGGGGGAAACTGCCATATCACTACGTCGAGGTGATGGCCTGTCCTTCAGGTGAGAGTGCAGGTGGGCCTGGAAGGGTGGGCTGGAAAAAGGGGGGATGAAGAGGCCGTGTGCCGCACGGAGCTGCTCCAGGGCCTAGCACGTGTGTTCCCCCTGACTTCAGCCGCCACCCTTTTATTTTCCAGGGTGCCTAAATGGAGGAGGCCAGATCAAGGCTGAAGGGGAACCTGCTAAGGATCTGCTCCAGCGGGTGGAGCAGCTGTATGAATCCGTCCTGCCTGAAAACCCCGAGACGAGCAGGGCCACGGCAGAGCTTTACCAGCAGTGGCTGAACGGCCCCACCTCCGAGCAGGCGCGAGAAGCGCTGCACACACGGTACCACGCGGTGGAGAGGATCGGCACGGGTCTGAGCATCAAGTGGTGACCAGGGGCCAGTGCGGCTTGGAGCCAAAGGTGCTGAGGTGCCTCCAGCCCAGTCGTGTTTTTACACTTACAACTTTTAAAGGAGAGAACTTTTATACTTCGCAAATCTGTTGCAAACACACATTCGTACCAAAGATCTGAATAAAAATGATTGCGAGCTGTCCTTTTGCTCTGTGGAGGTCAATGTGTGCCCAGGGAGATGGCCTAGTTTGAGGTCGGCTAGCTGACCGAGTTTGTTGATCAGTGGGAGAGCTCAGTTTTGCACAGAAAACATTACAAATTCAATTCCTGGCATCTCGAGGCAGGATGGCAAAAAGCCGGCACTGGCAATACCGACCCAGTCTAAGCCCACTTCAAGTTTAACTTGTCTTGGGAAAAGCTGGACTTGCTGCCTCTTGGAAACAGGTGAGAGTCACAAAAAAGGTGCACGGGCTCTTGGCGCTGCCATCTGCCTTGGCTTGGGGCTTTCTGCAGGGCGGGGCTGTGGGGGGGTGGCAGAGCCCCTGCTCTGTTTCGAGAAGGTCCCTGACTCGCAGTTTCCCCACCTCTTTCTCCAGGCAGGGAAGGAAGAACCAGAAAGTCTGGAATCAGTGCCAGTAGCACCGGGCCAGGTAGAAGAGCAGGCCTGACTCACCGCCTCCCTTTCTGGCCCCTGTGCCGGCCCTTCCTTGTGGAGGACGCACTCCCTTGAACCACAGCTTACACAGTTCTCGGTTGTGCATAAAAGCTCTTTTAATTAAACTGACAGAAAACCAGGGCAGCTCTCCGAGGGCCTTGTGAGTGGACAACCCTGCACTGCCCCCCGCTTTCCCTCCGTGTGGCTCGTCGGGGTGCTCAGCCCCGGGCAGCTGCAGCTTGTGCACTGCGCCGCATCCAACACTCCCTCTGGAATCTCCTGGCCAGATTTTTTCGCCCAGCCCCGTTTGTTCTCCCTCCCACGTCACGGAATGCGGGGCCATGGCTCGGCTCGGCTCTGCACTGCGCTGGCCCGAGCTGCTCCTGGTGCAGGCGGTGCTGCTCATCACAGAAGACTGGCCGGGGGGCTGCCCCTCCTTGCCACAGGCAGGCAGCCAGCATGGCAGGAGGGGCACGTTCCAGCCAGAGCAGCCCGGTTCAGAGGTGCTGGAACGACTGGGCGACAGGTGGCCTGCAGCCCTGCCGGCTCTAGCTGCTGGGAGCTGGAGACCAAGACGGGGAGACTCCGCGATGCCCCCCAGTGTTAGGAGCCAAAATAGTTCTGGTAGCTGCGCAACTGGCCCTGCTTTGCCCAGAACCCCCTGCAGCTGCGGGGCACCATGCAGCCCTCCCTGTTGGCATAAAAGACCAGGCTCCCGCCGGACACACACGCTCTCCTCCAGCAGCTTCACTTCTCCAGGAGCGGATCAAAGAGCCCAAGTTTCAGTGCCAGCGTGGCCTGCGGGCTCAGCCTATCCTTGGGCTTCCGGGAGCTGTCCCTGGCCTAGCAGAGAGCCGCAATGACCTCGGTCGGGTCCATCTTGCCGGTGAACCTCTGGACGGGTTCTTCCCTGGAGTCAGATCACACGCAGATGTGAGAGGGGAACTGCGGGGCCACCTCAGGCCACCCTCCCTGGCCTGGGGCCACAGGTGCACTGCAGCTCCACCACCGGCACCTCCCCTCAGCTGCAGCAGCTCCCGGGACAAGGCCCCGTGAGGCCCTTTCCCAGGCGGGAGGGCCTTTCAGGCTGGCACCTGCTCCGTGGGACACTCTCCCCAGACACCTGCCGTCTGCCTGTGCAGCTCCACACAAACACCCCTTCATTCTCCCAGGCATTTAATAGCCACTTTTCGGGCTGGTTTTAACCCGCTTTTACACACCGGAATGGCTTTGTTCTCCAATACTGCATTGTATTTCATTTTCCTCTGCTTTATTGTTCTGTTTTATTTTTTCAACGTGTTGTGTACTGCCTGGTGAACTTCGATGAGGGATGGTCTGCGAGTCCAGCGACAAAGCCAGGCAGCAGGCTGCGCTCAGCCCTTGGAGCGCCAGCAGAGCCCAGGCAAGCACAGAACGCCGGGCCTGCACAGCCCAGCTGCCTCCCACGGCTCCCTCGATGCTGGCGCCTTATCTTCACAGAGTGCTTGGGGCTTATCCCCACATAGCTCGGTGTGGTGCTGCACATTTCTGCCCTGCCCTGCCCTGCCCTGCCCTGCCCGGGAAGTCTCTGGCTTGCCGCATGCTTCAAATGCTGCGCCTCTTGTGTCAGCACTGGATGCCGAAAAGATCAGAGGGGAGGCTCCTGCTTGCCTCCCGCCAACCTGACGGGCGCAGCATTTTACATGCAAGCCGAGGGCCCAATCCCATGCACGTTGAGGCAGAAAAGGTCCTACAACTCCCGCCGTGCCCCAGCCGGCCCTGCTTGTTGAGGAGCGCTGCAGACTGCAGGACTTTCTTACGTGTAAACATGAACTGGATTGCACCCTTGAAACAGAAAGGAAGCTAGACAGAGGCCATTTAGTTCCCACCTTTCCCCCACAAGACTTCCCAGAACACCAGTCCCAGCAACTGGGAACACAGGGCTGGGCTAGAAGGGAAGACAGTCCTTCGATTCCCAATAGCTGCAACCTGGACGCCGTTTGACAGACAGATGCTTGACAGACGGACTTTGCCTTAGCACTGGTGCGTCTGCTGTAAGGTTTAAGGCCCAGGTTTAAATCTGATCCGGGAAGCTGGCTGCTGTGGAAGCGAGTTGCGATGCCGGACTCATGCCCGCGGCGACGAAGGCAGGTAGAGCAGAGGCAGCCGGGGGGAGCTGGCCAGGCCTGACTGCACCAGGCGGAGGAATGTTTCTGGCTCAGAAACGGCCCATCTCGGGCTGAGGACGCGCAGCGCCCGGGGGCGGTGTTGCCACAGGCTGGCACAGGCAATCTGGCGCCACTGATTTGGTACCTGCATCCAAAGGAGCACAGGAAGCTGCCTTCTGCTAGGACCAGGCTACTGGTCCATCTAACCGAGTGCAGTCCACATGCGGATGACTCTCCAGCATCCCAAGTAGAGAGTGGTCTTTCAGTCACTTCCTGCCTGGTCCCTCTTTACCTGAAGGTGCTGCCAGGGACCTGGGACCTTGGCCAGGCAAAGCAGGTGCCCCCACCCACCGCACCCTGGATGTGCAGTGACTCTCCACAGCTTCAGACAGGGCTCCTTCTCAGCAGGGCTCTATCACAGTGGCATAGTCCTGCCACTGGAGTTTCCACTCTTCCCACAATTCCTAGGAGCCAAGGATATCCACCCAGCTGGGGACAAAACAGGTATGGTGAGTGCGGAGCGTCTCGTTCCATCCCTTTGCCGCTTCTTACCTTTAGCTCCTCGTTGTGGCTCATCAGATGGGTCAGCGCCCCCCCCGTTTGCCCCCCCCCCCATGGACTTCCAGGTTGGGATACAACTTTGCCAGCTCCTCATTGCCTCGGGCATGATCCCTTGAGAGAAAGCGTGGGGGGGGGGGGGCTCTGTTAAAAACGCCACGGAAGAACTGACACCTGTCCCTCTTCTTGGGATTGCAAGAATGACCAGGCCCGGGGCCCCAGCACCCCCGCCTGGAGCACCCCTTCCCCACCGAGGCTCCGCTCACCAGTGGCGGCCAGTTGTCAGGGTTGCTCTCAGTGACCCCTTCTTTTCGGGGGATTTCCACTAGCTGAACAGGGGAAGGACCGGTGGAGAAAGCGGTTAGGTGCAGCTGCGGGTCAGGTGGCGTGCCTGCCTAGGACCACGCTTCTCTTGAAAGTAAGAGGGCTGCCGGCAGGATGAGCTCCTGCACGCGAGAACCATCCCTCAGCGGCCGCCTCCCCGCAGGGGCGCCCGCTCGTCGGGGCGGAGGAGCCGTTCCTCAAAAGGTCGTCGCAGTTGCCGCCGTCTCCGGAAAAGCCCCTTTTCGGTAGGCAGCCGGTGCACGGGGCGGGGGGGCGCCGCGCGGGGAAGCGGCCCTCGGTACTGCTGCGCCACGAACGATGCCGTATTGGCCACTGGTTAATGATACGAAGGTCCGGGGGGAAATACCCCCCCCATTTTTCTGGAACAATCCGTTTCCTTAGGAATTTTCTGGGGGAAATCCCCGCCCCCCGCCCCCGCCCTCACAGCTCCGGCACGGCGTGCGGCATGCGGAGGGCCTTCCGGGACGGCCTGCTCCGCGGGACTCCTGGCCGCGGAGCGCAGGGCAAGGGGAAGGCGTCGCGGCCACGGCTGCTCCGGGCACAGGCGCCGGCGCCCCGTCGCTCGACTCGGCGCTTCGGGGGCTTGGGACGGCGACCTTCCCCACTGGCCCGAGACGATGGCTGGAATCGGAGCCCAGAATATCGGAAAGGTGCATAAAGGAGCCTGATGGCTAATGGGGCGGAATCAAAGGCTAACGGGTGAAGAACTATTTCTCAGGGCGGGTCTGCGGTGGAGCAAGGAGGCATTTGCGATGTAGCGCCACAGATGAGTAAGTGCGGCCTGCAAATCGCACAGAGAAGCAGGTTTAGGAGCTGGGGAGAGAAAGGGGCCTTCTCCCAGCGCTGGAACGACTCAGAATAGCCCTGGCCAGCCTTTCTGGGGAGGAGCGCGCAAAGGCAGGGTCGCCTCCCTTGCCCAAAGAGCTCGAGCGGGACGACCGGAGGGGCTCAGGCGTCCCTTGAGAGGACTGCCCATGTGGAGACTGGGGAGAGCGCAGCAGACGACACAGGCTTGTTCGCCAACGCTTCAAAAGGAGGGTTGAGAAATTCCTCCGAGGACAGGGATAGAAAAGGGCGGGCTCAGGCCGTTGCTGAACCCTGACTGCCGCCGGCCCAGCAAGGGGCGCTGGCGGGCAGAGGGAAACAAGGCTGGGCTCCCTTGTCCGGAAGATGCTGGACCACGGGGACCAGGGTCCGCTCTGCTTGCAGCACTTCCTCTCCGGCTGGTTACTTGCTCCAGATCAAAGGGCAGCGAAAACACGCCCCTCCTGGATTGTTCCTTCTTCAGGCTGATATTACAGGAAGGAGGACCAACAGAATGGAAAGTGACCTTCCATTGTAACTTGCAAGATTAAAGGCTGCAGCAATTTTATGTGCAACAAAGCCAGCCACGCTCGCGCCTTCCTAACTGCCTTGCATCCTTCTCTCTGGGGCTTTTCCAACTTTCAAAGCCACAGGAAGGCCAGCCTTTCCCCAGGAAGAGGGGCGAAGGCAAGGCCAAACCCTGCCACTGCCCCAGATGCCGACGGCGCGCGCGCGTGTGTGTACCCATGTGTGCACAGTCTTACAGCAGACAGGCTCATCCGAGAGGTGCTGTTCCCAACTCCCTCTGCCGTGTTACAAGGACTCCTGAACTGTGCTTGTGCCAAGGCAGGAAAAGGCCTGAGAGCGAAACAGTGGCTCCATTTAAAAATAAAGTGCAAAGCTGCAGACTGCTTTCTGCTTGTGCATATATTTGCAGAACAGTTCCCGCGTCCTTTGGGGGCAAATCGGCAGGTGATTGCAGGCATCTCTGGATGCGGCAAAAACTAGAATTGCAGAACAGACACACATCTGGCAACTCTGAGTTGCGCAATGTGGGGTTGTATGCTTGCTTTCTTCAAACAATTCAAATGCACACCTTTCAGCACAGTCTATCTAAATCAGGAATCCATATAGGATCAGGTCAGCCTTCCAGATGCTCTCCAGCTGTATTAGAACTGCCGTCCCCAGCATCAGCCAGCCATGGAGGATGCTAGGTTGGGGAAGGCGGTTTCAGTGAAAAGCCGCTGTCTTCTTACAGGAATATCTGATGATAAATACCTGATGCTGTAAACAAAAGAAGAATGCACAAATATTCCTATAATGCAAGAACATTTTCTTCTCGGCTCGGCCAGCGTAGACACCAGCCACTTGGCAGAAGTCATAACTCCATGGATCAGAGGCAGAACCGCAGTTTAGTGCAAGATATGTTTATTGACCACAGAGCGGACACAATCCTCTATTTAAAACAAAATCTGCACAATGGAGGCCAGCAGCAGTTTTGTTTTTGAAGTCCCTCTCTGGGCAGAGAAGCGTCACTGCAACAGGCCCACCCGCTTCTTGCTGCCTTGGCACCCGCACATGGCTGCAGAGTGCGCAAAAGCGTACTGGCAGCACGAGCTGTTTCATGCCAGGTGCAGCACGAAGCGGCTACTTCCGGTTCCTGCCATTTCAGCCTGCAAACGGGCCAAGTATCTGTTAAGAAGTTCTCCCACCAAAGCAAAACAATCCTCCTTTCTGGCAGCAAACAAGACTCAAAAAGGGCGACACGGAAACGTCCTCCCCATGCACTGCTCCAGCACCTTCTGTGCAAAGTGCAAGAAAGAGGCAGGCAGGGGCTAAGGCCCCACGCAACTGCAGTGGGGAGGGGGGGAAGGGCCCCCACACGCTGCCTTTCCTTTTGCGATCGGCGCAAGCCTCAGCTGTGTTCCGTGGCACTTCCGGAATCCCTCCCAGGTCTGGAGCACTGCGAGGCTGCGCTGAAAGTTGCGTGCTGGGGCCCCTCCCCCTTCCACAGAGCCCTGCTCCGGGGGCCCCAGGGCCAGGTGTGGAAGCCAAGGCGGTCTCAAAGCCCGCTGAAGCTTGGGACTCCTCCGTGCTCTGGCCCCGTCAGTCGCTCTTTTGCACTCTTGCATGTCTGCACGAAGGCATTAGCTGAATCAGCAGGGAATGACCATTCCAGCAGGTTATTAAACACTTGTTCATGCTGAAGGGTTAATAAGCAATAGTGGCCTTCAGACAGAGAAGGGACATGTCTAACTTTACATCCCTTTCAAGTTTCAGTCCACTCCCTACATCTACAGATCCCAGAGTTCCTTGGTTGGGAGCCATGACACTTAAAAAGGGCTGAAACTTATTTTTCAAAAGTGCATGTCTAAATAAACTCTACTGCTATCAGAAATTGCATCTTTCCTCTGCACAGAGATAAGGGGACAAAGGGCGAAGGGGTGGTCAGTTCATCCCCAGGCTCCAAAATCTCTGCAGCCATCCGTGTGCACAGCGCAACGGCCGTGCTTAGGCAGACAGAGAAACCCCCAGAACTCCCAGTATATCCCAGCCCGGCTGCAGGGCACCTGCCTGTCCAAGCGTGCAAAGTTCTGTGCCCTAAATTCGCTTGCTTGTTACGTCACGAGAAGCAATGGAGAAAGCAAGGGGCTCTGCTCAGCTTTCCAGCTAAAGCCCAGATTTGCATTCAGAGACACCCCAAATGCGGGGGCAGAGCTCATCCAGATTTTGTCCCAGCAAGAGAATTAGGGCAACTCTTCCAAATTCACATCCACAGTCGTTTTTCATGTATTACTGAAAAATAAAGAGAGCCAGTCCTACATCCTGGTTGAAATTCAGATTACAAGAATAATTAGATTTTAACATCTTTTAAATAGCATAAAGAACATCTCCATTAAGAGCAAAGAAAGTGCTTTGTTGGTTTGTTTTTCCTTTTAGGACAAAAATAAAATTACTTAACAAAATTTTAACAAAACACAGCAATGCATCTTCAGCTTCCTTAACTGAATCAGTTACGGACAAAAGCAGCTGAGCATCATGGTGGAGCTTACTCCTTTGGAACTCTGAAGTGGTCTTTTTCTTTCCGGAGGGCTCCCATGGTCCGGATGGGGTCTGTTTCCCTGGCATGCTGCTGCACCGTTGCCTCTCTGCCAACAGAGGGGTTGTGGGGGACAGGTTATATGGTACCCTGGAAATGGAGCCCCTACACCAACACCGCCTGCATCCTAGGGACCGTGCCCGTCCGCCTCCGTCTCGGACACACAACACACCCCACGCGGCAGACAAGGGTGCAGGAGAAAAATGAGGCAGCACCTGAATTCGCAGCAATTAGGACCACAAAAGGTGACCGAGTTGGTGCTTTCAGGTAAAGTGGTTCTCGTGGAATTTTGGCCAAGAACGCAAGCCTATTTTCCTACCACTTCTGTCAACCTTTTTCCACCATAAAGGAGGAAGAGGAGGAGGAGTGGCACTAACAGGGTCTGCAAGTACCCAGCCTATTGTTTCTATGGTGCTAAGAAGGTTTTTGCAAAGGGAGAGGCAAGCTATGCTATCCAATGGCATGAATTGCCTTCCCTCAGCAGTGGGGGGAGTCCCTGGTTAAGGTAGCATAACCAGAGCAGACTTTTAAACGGGTTTGCTCAAATTCTGGAACCTTTCTAAGAACTGTTCTGTGCACTTGATCAAAATGTTTCTCAATGCATATGCTTAGTTTTATGCAATGCGATCAACAGTTTTCAAAACGATCGGTAACCTAATTGTTGCATGTGAGCCCAAGCAATGAGGGAGCAGCTCCTCTCAGAAGCTGAACGCTCGTGTCACGAGGACACCACCCCGGGTCATCCACACACAACTGTTACCTCACTCTCATGAATGGGTTGTACGTGAACTCTTCGCCAATGGTTGATGGGATGGTCGGCTCCCCACTGTCATATTTTGCCTGGTGAAATAAGATAAGCGTGTCTAGAAATGCTTTGGATACTGAAATCCGCCAGCCCCACTTCCTTAAATGTTTGCCTTCCATTTACCAGAGAGGGAGAGGGAGAGGGAGAGCACCTCTCTCTCATTTGCGGGCCTGCCTGCCTCTAAGTTTTTGTTGCTCTTCATCAACTGAAGAAAGGGGGAGGCAACCCAAGGCCTTCCAGATTTTGGACTGCCACTCCTATCAGCCCCATCCAGCATGGCCAATACCCGTGTCTCATGGGAGTTGCGGTCCAACACAATATGTGGTCCCATATTTAGAGGCTGACCCCAAGTAAGGAGGCCCCCACTGTCCCCATAGCAGACCAACATTCCCCCACAAGGGGCAGGGGACTTTGCTCCCATGGAAGGATGCAGTAACCAGTCGGGAGCTGCACGGATCGCCCTGGCCGTCCTGCTTCCTTCTTTCTCTCGTCTTCCCTAAGCAGCAGCCTGCTGGGAAAGCAGCAGGTAGCTCCTGGGAGAAGTCCAAACTGCTCCCTTGCAGGGGGCTTCTGGAAGGGGCCAAAGGCCCCTTGGGCTGCAGGGGGTTCCCCCACGTACTGATGCCACTGGGGCAAGATCAAGCTCTCAGTGGAAAGCAGGATGTGGAAGGACATGGGGACTCCCCGGAAACCCTGATCTTGCCTTTGACCATGCGAGTTTTTGCTGGATCGCACTGCTGTTGGGTTCCACGTGCCGGGCAAACTTTAAATTGTTGATGGTATATTCGTGGCCACAGTAGACTTTCTAGGAAGGAAATAAGCAGAAGGAGAGTTACGAGTCCCTGAAATCAAAGCACGACTGCTCAAAGCCCAGTCCTGAGGTTTTGGGTAGGCTGCAAAGCTGAAGGTTAAGGAAATGGCAGGGATCGCGGGGGCCAAGTGGCCGCCCCCCCTGTGCACCAGTCCCCGCCCCAGGGACAGCACTCTCCTCCTCAGCATCAGCTGCGGCAGTGCTAGTTGGTGCACCATCCAGACGAGATGCCCTTCAGGGCACGTGCTGGGCCACCGGGGCATCTCGCACCTCCAGGTGAGCCAGGCTTGCCTCGCTCACAAGCCCAGGGACTCTCCAGCAGGGAGCCAACATCCCTGGCTGTGCGGGGAAGGGCTTTCCAGGAAACGCCGTCCGGCGGCATCTTTGTAATGACTTTGTTGCTTGCAGGGGAAAAGATCCCAGGTCTTTAACTTGTGCTATTTTAGCCAACGTGGCAAGATCCCCTAAATGCGTTCTAAGATGCATCCATTCATTCAACTTATATTCCACTATTAACTAGTCTGAGGACTCTTGAAGAAGATACATTTCACATTTTAAGCAGAAGAAGAGGCAAACTTAATCATAAACAGCTAGCGCTGGCTGCTGTGACCCCCGACTTGAATCACAGATGCATCTGGGTTAAAAGAGGTAAGGGGGGGTCACACGGCTCCCAGGTTCCTGCAGCCCATCTGCCACCCAGAGTGGGGAAACAGCGCTGTCTCCTCTGCATTCACCGTAAAGGCCGGAAGAGGGTCATGCCGGGGACGGGGAACGTGTCGACAACTACAGCAGACGGAAGCAATGGGTCCATGCATGTCTCCTGCCTGTATTCTGCCACAAAAGTTTCTTTTACTGGGAAAAGACAGGCACTTTTGCATTTGCCAGTTTGGAATTAACCGACATGTGCAAGGAACAAGGGCTGGGAAAGACTGCCAGACACCAAGGGTTTCACCACAGCTTGACCTCCCTCAAAACTCCTGAGAATCCTGCAGATGAACAAGTGTCAAGAGAGTTGTTGGTTACCGATCCCGAGCTGCCCCCCTCGCCCCCACAACGATTTCCAGGGCCTCCTGTGGAAATGGAATGATGGTGGAACCTGCAGTGAGCTGTCTTCTGCCAGCCCTGCCCCACCAAACCCGTTGGTGCAGTACCGTTTCAGGAGGGAGACGCCCCAAGATCTCAATCAGGGCTCTGTACATCTCCTCGGGGGTTCCTTCAAAGAACTTTCCACAGCCAGCCACAAACAGGGTGTCCCCTAAATTGGTGAGGGAGGAACATACCATGTTAGAAATGGAAAGCGGCAAGCTGCATTGCAGGCAGCCTTGGACTGAAAGTAAAGAGCAGTGAAGCCGTGGCCCTGCGTGTTTATCCGGCACTTGGAATGTGGTAGGTGCTGCACCAGGCATCCAAAGGGATGAGACACCAGCAAAAGGAGTTCTTGCTGTGTGCAAGGCAGAGGGTTAGTGGCCAAGGAAGTGCTCAGAAGCAGGGCTATGGTGGCTGAGGGGATGGCTTTGCTCAGGAGTACGTGTGAATGAGTACCTGTATAGCCTGGGGGAGGACAGGGGTAGGTCTTCACCTGAATCCTGGAGAAGGTGTGGGTGGGAGGGCGGGGGACTGACGAAAGAAGGGAGCCCTTGTGAGGGGTGATATGGACACAGATTTGTTTAGGGTAGCATTTCTGGTATACCTGCAAAAGGACTATGAAATGCAGCAGAGTTCCAAGACTGCTGGAGAGCACCCTCTTGAGAAAGCGGCATGAAAATCCAGTAAGAAAGTCATGAAGCCAACTGACAAATCAGAAAGTTAGGCAGGCACCAAACCAGTTGAACGCATTTGATGAAGCCCAAAGGGCAGAGGGAACAGCCCCGCCCTACAAAGCCACACCGCTGCACGATTTGTGGGATCTGGGCGTCTCAGAAGCTCCCTCACTGGAGCAGCAGCAGCAAGCCTAAGAGGAGCAGCGGGCGGAGGAGGCGGACGCCTGTGCGTGCAGCGCTGCACCCGCCTGTGAGCCCCCACAGCCCGCCCGAAGCCTCACCTGTGAACACAGCCGGGGGCTCCGAGCTGTTCGGCTTAGTCACAAAGTAGCAGATGTGTCCCGAGGTGTGGCAGGGGGTTGCAAGGCATTTCACATTCAGGGAGCCCACCTAGCAAAGGGAGAAAAGCTCCAGTCATTGGCTAAAGCAGCTGCAGCAGCCCGGCCGGAATGTGCTGCAGGTGCACCCTTTTCCAGCACACCGCGAAGCCCCACTGGCTGGGTGACCAAGAAGTGTGAGAAAGATCCTCCACAGCGGCCCGCTGAGCCGTCGGGCACCAATCTCATGGCCCGGGCTCTTTTCCACCGGCAGCCTATCACGCCGCAAAACCTCATCATCAAGTCACTCCTCTAAAAAGCAGCCATTCTAAGGCGGCAGCCTGATACTTGTCCGAACAGAAAGAGAACAGGCAACCCGGGGAGCAGCTGGGGAGAAGAGTGCCTCATTTCTGGGACAAACTACCAGAGTGTTTTGTCCGGGTGCATGGAAAACCTACGGAGAAACTATCCCAAAGGGCTTTGAAGGATGAAATGTAGTTCTAGAAAATAGCCAGGCATGCTTCAGACCTCACAGTTCCTTTCCAAGGGTGCTGATATTACAGAAATAGTTTTCATAAATGCACACAAAATGGAGATGAAATACGCATTCCCATTACCTTGATATAAAATTAAGTCGACAGGTGTATACACACAGTACAAACTGTTTATTCTCAAAAAATAAACACCCTGTGCCCACGTTCTCTAACCTGGCACACACATGAAATAATCAGGAGGTGCTTGCAGCCAGCCATGGCCGCGGTGGGCGAGCCAGAATCGGCATTCCAGGTGGACGCTTTTGCACTGGGCCCTGCTGGGGCCAATCTCTTCGTTACGGCTGGGGGCCAAACTAGCTGCACAGGTAACTGGGCAACTGGCCCCTTTCCGCCTGCTTTTTCTTCATTAAGTCGCAGTGTGATCTGAATGAGGACTAAGCAGTGTGTATGTGCACGTCTGTGTTCACACGTGTGCGTGTGTGTGCAGGGTGGGGTGGATCTAACTCTGCCCCTGCAGCAATCTGGTCCAGATTCTCTCCCTCCCGCTGGCACCCAGCTGCTCTCAGGGGATCAAAATAAGCACGCGAGGGCCAGCTGCATGAGCGGCGTGTCCCCCTGCCAAAAATACCAGCCTGCACACACACAGAATCATTTTCCTGCTCCTTCTGGAAATTCTGGCAGAAGCCGGGACCAAAGAGGGCCGCAGCATATTCCGCGCTTTGCTTGCAGGGGAGCGAGCACAAGACACACATCAGGTCTCTCTGAGGGCTTCCATTTGATGGTGCAAAATTATTTGCAGGAAAGCAATTTATGGGCAGAAAGGATAAAGCCGGCACAGTGAAGGCACTGGGATCACGGGGGAGTTTTCCCCTACTCTGATGCGTCGCACAGTTCCTACAGGAGGTGCTGGCCACCACCCGTCTTCACAAAGGCCTCGCGGCAGGACTGCCCAGCTCCCCGCGGATGCTCCCCGCTCTCTTCCCTGTGGCAGCTCCATGCAGGTGGCAGACTGGTCTGGCAAAGCGGTGGTTTGGAGCAGAACCAGAAACCCCTTCCATGTGCAGGATGTGGTCACGTGCTTGAGCAAAGGTCTCGGATGTTAAGCCAGATGGATGATGTGCCCCAAGCAGAGAGCTGCCACACGCAAGGGGCTGGGGGTGGCCATGCACTGGGCACTCATGTGCTGCAATGCTTGGATGGAGCACGCATGTCAGAGGGGGGTTGGGTGGATAGGTTGCTCCCACTTTTTTTTTTTACCTGAAATGACATAAGATGAGAGACTTTCTGGGTGAGGGCTCCAACCCTGCTATCTCCCCCGTACACTTGTAACCCCGGCGCCATCTTTACAAGTTTCTCATTGCCACCAGCATGGTCCCTAGAAAGGCCAAAATGTCAGACTTTGGAGGCTATGCAAACACACCAGATGCATTCTCTTTCATGCAGACCTGTCACTCCACTCCAGTTTCTTTCAAACCTATCATTCCATGAACTTTTGTTTTCACTGAATGCAACTCGTTCAGCTTTACCCTGCAGTCTGTTGCACGAAACAATCAAATAGTTTCCAGTGGAAATGGATTCTTGCACCATGTCCTATCTGGGTGTCTAAGATCAACTTCCTGCTATGTAGACCATGGCATGAGCCAGTAATAGAGAACAGGTGCAGAGCAAAACGAGGCAGGTGCAGGTGCTGTGATTGCTGAGCAAAAGGCTCAGGTGGAGGTGAGAAAATTAAGAGCACCCCTGTACAGTTTGACTCAAGAGGAAAACCCATCCTTAATTCCAAAAATATGCGGAAAGCACACAAAACTTGGCCATGGGTCCCATGTAGACTACAAGTTTGGTTCCAGAACAACTTCTACTCCAAGCTGCTTCATCTGCCACAACTTCCTCCAAACCCTCTGAATAACTGTTGATCTTCAGGGGGCCAACCATTTTTTCTTAGAACCTCATTTCACTCCAAAGAAGGCAAATTCTTAGGGTTCTTTGAATGGGAAGCCATGGCAGGTGAATAGGAAGGTAACTGGTTGAACTTTGTTGTGCAAATAGTTCCCAAATCATCCCAAATAAAATGTTACAGCCCTTGACCTCTGACTCTGGTTGGCACCCTAGAGGGAGGAGGAAACCTCTTCTTGATCCCACAACATCGTTTTCATATCCCAGGCTCAAGTCATTGGTTGACTGAATGGAAAAAGGGTTACCAGTGATGGTGTGTCGTGAGAACTGTGGTCAATTTCACACCGTGCTTTCTGACAGCGTCCAGAACCTGTACAAGTGGAGAAGAAAGGGAAAATACTAACCCTGATGCCAATTGACCTGGAGCAGGGCAGCTTGCCAAAACATGTCCCCAAAAGAAGAACAAGTCAACCACTAGTTCATAAGACAAGATTATCCCAACTGTGCTGGTGATAAGGATAAATGAGAGGTAACACCGCTGATGTACAGACACGTAGTCTCAGTACAATCTAGGAGACTAGGCTGCAACTAGAGATCAGCTCCCTTCCATGAATTCTAAAGTTTCACATTCTAATTACTTTCCTTGCTTCCTATTTTTTGACTAGGCATGCCTGCCTCTCCACAAATAAACCTGCTGCCACATTCCAACTTTCTTAGCCATCTCCTATAAGAAAAAAATAAATAGATGTCAGGGATTCAGTAGTGAATTTTGATTTCCAAAAATCTGAAGAGCTGAATTCAAATTCTCCGGATATGAACCTGAGACGTTAAATAGTGTTGTGCACAGATGACAAACCGCTGGAACAAGCAGAAAGGAAGACATCTGCGAAGAGTACCTTCTGGGGCTGCACAGGATCAATTATAGCAGCCTCCCTGGTTTCTTCGTCAACGAGGAGGTACATGTAGTTGTCCGTGAGGGCTGGAAGGAGCTCCACCTTCATGCTGGTGTGCAGGACTACCTTAGATGGTCGTCTGTCAAACTGTGTATGGACAAAGCTGGTCTGAAGGTGCAGAAAACCTTCAGAAGGCAAACAACAACACAAATGTTAGCCAAGATGAGGCAACAGGTGGAGCACCGAGGACCAAACTGTGGCGGTATCCACAATGCTTTGGGTCTGGTCACAGCTAGAATGTTTGTACGAGCCAATAAAAGACCAGCTTAGATAGTACAGAATTTTGGAAATGCATGGCAGTTGAACAGTCAAAAGACAGGCATGGATGCCTTGGAATTGATGACACGTTAGGAGATAAATTTCCAGTTTTAACAAAGATTAAAGAGGCCAGATTTCTTTCCTCCCAGAAACTCAAAAGATCAGTGTTCAAACTTTGGTTTTGGTTGGCCCAATTACAATTTAGGCAAGACAGGCACATTCTCAATGGACCAGGTGCTGAGGGTGACCAAGATGAGTTTCTTATTTCAAGCTATTGTGACAACCAGTGTAGTGGATTATCGTTGGTTTCCAAAAACTTTCCAGCTAGTGCAATCGTTCTGTGAAGGTCTTAGAACAGACAGTAAGGATCAGCTCTTGGTATTAAAAATGTCAGCTTGGCAGATTGGGGTGCACTTAACCCAGTCTCACCAAATTAATTCTGTAACAGAAAGCCCACTGACAGAGAACTCTTCTGTTACGGTGCCCTCTGGCTGTAGCAACTACTGGCTAGGTGATCTCTGCTGATCCCACTGCCTCAGACAACATCAATTCCAACCCTGAACTGCAAAAGCCAGGTAGCCACACAGCCCAGTATAGATTAACTGGCAGGAGGCAAAACAGCTATAAACCATTAACCACTCAGACGATCTGTTGACTGCAAGTATTTAACGATCTGAGCATGTCTGCATGCATAAGCAGACTCCTGCGGTCACAAGGGTTGTAGGAACTGGCCTCCTTCCAGGTGCCTCTTCACACAGGCAAGATAAATCACCTTGTTGGACAAGTGCAAACATTCTTGTGTTTCTGCTTGAAGAGTTACTCCATAATTAACCAAGTCAGGACTTTGGTCCCCAAGCCCAGGACTGTTGACCACTGACAATGACAACAGTTTTGTCCATCGACATTCCCTAGGACAAGAATTGCTAACTACAGATTGTTGCTGTCATGTAGAGTTGCGGCCTCCAGACTGTGGCGACCCCATGAGCGGAAGCCTCTGAAATGTGCTGTCCATGACAGCTCGCTCGGCTATTCTAAATCCAAGGCTGCTGCCTCCTCTATGCAATCCATCCGTCTCGGGGTCAGTCTTGCCCTTGTCCTAACAACAGCTTCTTAGTCCTGCTTTACCAGGACAATCAGACGCTGAGGCACCCCCACTTCTTTCAGGACTATCCATAGTTTCTTGCAATCCTGAGAGCCAAAGGCTTTCCTGCACTCTGTAAAGCACAGCCTGAGCTGCTTCTGACATTCTTTGATGTCCTCCAATGTGTATTTGTGATACCTGGAGTGCCTCCTGCTTACGGTCAGGATGACCCCTACAGGAATCCATCCTTCTAGCATCCCTGCACTTCTTCTCATGCTCGGCCTGGTGTTGCAAAGTAAGCAGAGTCCAGAGAACTGTTTATTATGTTTTCATATGACGTTTTTGTTGTTTTAAAGAATTGTGTTCTGATTACTGTTGCAAGGCACCTAGTGATCCCTGTTGGGGTAATTGCCGGCATATGAGGGCAAAACTAAATAACATAACATAACATACTACTCAAAGCATAAATTCAGGCTTGGACTTTGAGAAGCAAATCAGGCACATTTGTCTAGTTCCTAATCTTTGCAAATATTTGCTGCTGCTCGAGGAGTTTTGGAACATTAACCCCTTGACAGCAATTCATTTCAGGAGGGGGCAGGGGGAGGCACAGCATGCCTCATCTTGCTGCCTTACTGACGCAGTCAAGTGGTGCGTGCTTGCAGGGGAAAACCTGGCCCATAGGCCTTCAGCGTGGCCCCCAAATCCATCCATCCATTGGTGGACCAGTCTCACGTGGATGAGTGGCACCACCACATTTGTTATATGCAAACCGAGAGGTGGAAAGGCAGGGAAGGGAGGAGGAGAACGGTGGGGCCATGCCAACAACAGTTTTGTGGGGCCTCCTGGCAAGCCTCCCTCAGTGGGTCAACCTTCTCCATGCCGGTGTGACAGCTGCCCTTGCTCCTCAGCCTCCTCCTCACCCTTGCCGAGCCATGCAACCTGCTGCCCCTGCTTCTCAACAGCCCTGTGGTCTGGACCAGGGCGAAAGGCTGGGAAGAAGCAGGTGGCCATCCTGAGCAGGCCGGACCCCTGCAGAAGCGAGGGTCGTCGGGAAGCCCCCAACCATGCCAATCTTCGTCGCCCGCTCTGGAACGAGAGGACATCTCTGCTATATGGTGCATTTATACCGCCTCTGTACGAGCCAGGATCTCCTGTTCCACCCTGAGGAATCCTGGGAACTGTAGTCTAACACAGATACGAAAGATCTTCTGTTCCTGGTCTCGAACTGGCTACCCTACAGAAGCGAATTCTCAAAATTGCAATAAAACCTCTTCGTCTAAAACAACATTACCTATCTGGCGACCGCCAGACCTGCACTTTGACTACCGCTGGCTGAAGCTGATGGGAACTGGAATCCAACATGTCTGAAGAGCACCGGGGGGCGGGGGGAAGCCTGGTCTAAAGTGCACATAACCTCGTCCAGAGAGAGACGGGGGCGGCCGGGAGACAGCTGGACGGAAAGGGGCCTTTGCAGTAGCAACGCGTTTCTGCTTCCCTCGAGGGCAGGTGCGGGCTTTTTTGACAAGGGAAGACCCCCGGCCCTCGCAGAAAAAGCCGCGTCTGACTCAGCAGCGAAAAGCCGAATGCGGTGCAAGCAAGCGATCTGACAGGGCTGCCGGCTCATTCCGTGCGCCAAGGAGGGACCGAGCGCGTTTGTGCAGGCGGGCACGCCTGCTGCCCCGAGCAGTTCCCCTTCCAGAGGGGACGTCCAGCCCGAGCGCCTGCACCACAGCCAGCACCCGCCGTGGCAAGGGGAGATGCGAGGCTTTCTCAAGCTATCCCAGCCGGGAGCACGCCGCGCAATGCCGCGGCTGTGCCGGTCGCGGCGGAGGCAATCCGTCCCCGGCGACGCCGCCACTTACCCGATCGAAGCCCCGCCAAGATCGCAGCGACGCCGAGCCTCCCTCCTCCCCCGCAGACCATGGTCCGAGGAGGAGCCGCCGCCGAGCGTCGCCTTCCGTGCACGAGCGCCGGCGCGGCGCGGCGCTCTGTTTGGTGCAGGCGCCTCCCGGCCCCCTTCCCTTTCCTCCCTGACCCGCCTCCGACAGCCAATGGCTTTCCCGGCCTGCAAAGCCAGCCCTCCGCGGCCGCCTGGAAGGAGGCGGGACTGGGCGCCGCTGGCGGGGCACCGTTGCGAGAAAGGAGACGGGGCCGGGCGATTTCCGTCGGCGGACCTTCTCAGCAGCCCCGTCGGCCTTGTGAAAGGTAAGTAGCCGCTCTGCCCCTCTGCACTGCGCAGCTGAGAAAAGGAGCTCCGCGCTGCGCAAGTGACTCCGACTGGGCAGATGGTTTCTCCAACTTGGGCTCAGGCTTTCGAGGGCTCAGGCAGCACAGGGCTTCGGCAAGGCATCTCCGTGCTTTGTGTGTTTACTCAAGACCCCCCCCCCCCGCGTTCAAGAGGCTTTCCCTCGGCCCATATTTATATAGGTGCACAGTTTTAATCATACACGTGACCACCACACGCGTCGCGAAAAAGATATAGTAAATAACAGCGCCCCTTTCAGCATAAGGAGAACGTGAGTGTTAAAGATGAGATTTTCCCAAATGCCCTGGATTTTCCAGATCAGAGCCTGGAGTACGTGCAACTAGGAAGTGACTTTGACCTTGTGCTCCACTGCTGAGTAATACCAGTCAGCTGCCCTTCACGTTGACCCTGCTGGAAAGGGCTGCTTAGGCAGAGTGCCTTTCTCGCTCTTTTTCAAAGATTATATTTCTCAGCCCAAGGGACAGAGGGCATTTTGATTTGTATTTATTTTTATTGTATGTTTGTATGTGTTTAAAGTATTTATATGCCTTTCAGTACCACAGTCTCTGGACAAAATACCAACAAATTGGAACTCGTATTATTTGGAACTATTCAGTAACTATATGGAAGACAGGCTGATAGAAGGCTAGTTACTTCTGGCTAGTAGAAGGCTAGTAAGAGTTGTAAGAATGGTAAAGATCATGCATGTGAAACTTGCAGCTTACTGGAACTCTGGTAACATCTGAAGTGGATCTTCCGTGCCTGAAGATGAGGTCACTCTCAATGCAAATCACGGGAGGGGTCTTGCCTAGGTGCAGCTTAGTGGTAGAGCTGCTGCTTTGCATGCAGATGATCCCTGGTTCACTTCTCAGTAGTATATTCAGGTAGAGCCAGGGAAGCATCCTGCCTGAAACCCACCAGTGTTGGCCGTATTGGGCTAATAAACCAGTGGCCTAACTCTGTGCAAGGTAGCTTTGGCTGCTCTTAAATTCTGGGGCTGCCTTTTAGGAGATGAGTGCTGAGTTTTCACCTATATTTCTGCACATGCAAACTGCTATGTGTTGAGAAAGCAAGTGTGAGTATGAGCCTGTTTGTACAATTTCAGGTAGCAAAAGAAGCTGAACGGGAAGTGAATGTATAAATGCTATATGTTGGTCTGTGACTGGTTTGTTTTTGTCTCTCCCAGCCTGAGCAAGCAACCAGATCAACGTGAAGAAATTGTGCTCCTGCATGCCAGCTGCACTTGTCCTTCAGACCTCAGCATTTTGAAAAGGGGTTATCACAGTGTGGAAGCATGTCTTCTTCCAAGCCTTTCACCAGATTCTGGGAGTGGGGCAAGAATATCATTTGTGTAGGGAGGAATTATGCAGAACATGCCGAAGAGATGAAGAGCACACTCCCCACTGAGCCACTTTTCTTTCTCAAGCCTTCCTCTGCTTATGTCAGGGAAGGCTCTCCCATCATCCGGCCTGCCTACTGTACCAACCTGCACCATGAAGTAGAACTGGGAGTGGTGATTGGGAAGAGAACGCAGTCAGTTCATCAGGAAGTGGCAATGAACCAGGTGGCAGGCTATGCCCTCTGCTTGGACATGACAGCCAGGGATATCCAAGAGGAGTGCAAGAGGAAAGGACTTCCTTGGACATTGGCTAAAGGGTTCAATACTTCTTGTCCCGTCAGCAACTTCGTGCCCAAGGAGAAGGTACCAGACCCACATCAGCTAAAGATCTGGCTGAAGGTAAATGGGGAGCTGCGGCAGGAAGGGGATACATCAAACATGATATTTTCCATCCCCTACATCATCAGCTACATTAGTGGAATTATCTCACTGGAAGAAGGGGATATCATCCTGACAGGGACTCCCAAAGGGGTTTCTGCAGTAGAAGAGAATGATGAAATAGAAGCTGGGATCCAGGGGGTGCTCAGCATGCGGTTTCGAGTAGCACAGCAGAAGAACCAACACTGACATGAGATAGTCCCTTTTCCTGGAGAAGAGAGCTTTGCTAGTTCTGATTGGAGTGCAAAAGGATGTTGGCACCATTCTTTTCCTGTGGAATGTGAGATACTGGGAATGGAGCTTCTCAATGATTGCCCAATAGAACTGTCTTCTTGTCCAGATTCTCTTTTATTGCAGAGAGAGACAGGACAGAGAGGAGTGCTGAAATCCTGTGTTGTTGGATACTGTACATAAAGACCTGGTTCCATGTCACAGTCACCCACATTATTTTTAAGTTATGGGTTGTCATGAACAAGTACACACTGCCCCGCTGTTCCTGTTACAAGCTAGAACAGCTAAACAGCTCAAAGACGCTTTATCCCTGTTGTTGTTTGTGGGTGGGGTAGGGTGGCAGGGGGATTGTATCCAAACCCAGGTTTCTGGCTTGTTTCCCCTCAGGTTTGTTTTGTGGTTGTTCAAGAAAGCCTGGGGTTGTTGCGATTTCTGAACCAGGCCAATGGTGCCTCTCTTTTATATTTTAAAAAATGTAAAATTATATAGGGAAGGTGGTTGAACACAGCAAGTATTCCACTTTGCTTCAAAATGTTCTTAATCTAAATGTAACTGTGTCCTATCTGTAAAACTCAACCAATGAATGAAGGAATTGTTTTGTTCTGACAAGCTAGACCATGCCCATAGAAAAGAACAGGGAGAATGTTATTAAAATATTTTTATATGATGAAATTTAGAAAATATTTTGCAATGAAATCTGATAGAAATGAATACTAATGTGACAATAAAACAATTATTCTGTCTTTGGCCTGCCTTAATCAATGTTTACACAGTAGTATCACTTACCTACACTCTGCAAAATGAAAATTAGGGTTCGAAGCACTTTGACAGGACTGCAAGTGGGTTACATTATCTGCGCACTGCCTGCATATGTAATGGGGGGAGGTCAGAGAAAGGGGGTTCAGCCTTTGCCCACTTAGCAAGTTAATGACTTGAGATAGCTTTGAAACTGGAGTTTTTCCCCAAAGCTGTTATACACCAGCTTTCATGATTGAATGGGACTTAACTTTCCCTTCTTTTAAAGGGTAATTTGAAATTATAAGAAACACACAGAGAAAATTTTAAAACTTCATATGCATAATTTTCTCAAATGTATTATACCTAGAATGCAATTTTGCTTACACATTTTCAAAAGTAGAAAGTACATCTAGATCTTTGAGAGAGAAGCAGCATTACAAAAACCGACACACAAAACACAGGTTTTGGTAACTTTGCAATAAGATGTCTAGAAGATGTAATTTCACCAGTTCAAGAAAGTGAAACACACTTGTCTGCTTTTTGAAGCTGGGTATGGTATTTATTTTTCTTTTCTAGGCAGGTTTTGACTGGCCTCTATAGGATCTGCTAATTTGCAAGAAAGCAGACTCACTCTTAATCCAGTTCGTGAATTGGCTGAAATAACAACCTATGGAAGTAAGTGTGAAATAACACCTTTTGAAACAAATGTAAAGCTTAATCCCCTATCCCTCCTAAGAAAAGTGTTCAGTCTTATGCATGTTTCCTACAAACAAATCTGTAGAACTCTCAGACCTGGTAAGACCATCTCTCTGATATCTAACAGGTACCTGTCCTGACTGGGGGAAGGGGGTGGCAGGAAGGTGATGTTTCCCTGCTGTTTCACTTGTGTCTACACAAAATGGTGCCCAAGTGAGCAATGCATGGGAAGAGAGGAAAGAATGGGGGCATCCTACCTTCTTTCTACCTACTGAAAGCTTCTGTTGCTCCCACTCTTGGCCACAGAACCTGACTCCTTTATGACAACTTGCCTAACCCAACAGCAAAGCTCTGAGTGAAGGGCAGAACCTTCAATAATCATTAAGGGAGGGGAGCTCAACATGAGATCTCCAAAACTAACTCCAGTCACACCTGAGTCTGCTCCTTGTCTCCTTGTTGGGAGAGCCGAGCAGTAGATGGAATGCTATTACTAATATTTTATCTCTATGGGATCTAGGTATCTGAGAGTTTTCCCTGGGTGAGCCCGCCTCAGTCCTCTGATAGTCCCTCAAAGGTATCAATAGACAGCACATGGCTCTCTGCCCTTTTGGTTGGGAACATGGCCCTGCTTTTTTCTTAATGTTATGCCTGAAGAAATAGGGGAAAAGTTGGGAAGAATAGCTATAGTTAGAATGAATATACTACCCAGGATTTTGTTTTTATTTCAAACAATTCCCATAAAAATTGAGAAAAAGCTTTTTGATGATTCAAATACACAAATTTTGAGATTTATATGGCAAAAGAAGAAACCAAGAATTAAAATAAAAATGCTCCAGGAGGCCAAATGGAATGGAGGTTTTGGTCTCCCAGATTGGTTGTTGTATTATCAAGCATGTGTGCTAGTGTGGCTAAAAGAATTAAGGAACAAAAGGATTTTATATCATGAAGGTCACGACTTACAAATGGGCTGGCATGCTTTTATGTGGTATGAGAAGTGTAAAATTCATGGGTATTTTCAAAATCTCTACATTAGGAAGGCATTGATTTCGGTATGGGAAAAATAAAGATAGAAATTTATAATAAGATACCGAGATGGCTTTCTCCTATGGAAGCTTTTGTATACCCAACTGCATTAAATTTCAGTAAGATTGTGACTTATAATGACAGGTTGGACAATGAAGGAAAATTGAAATTAAATCAAGAACTTCAAGACCGGGGCATTGATCTTTCTTGGTAGCATCAAATGCAGATAAAATTGAGACACGTTAAAGATTTTAAAATGTATGGTTTCTATAAAGAACAAAACACTTTTGATCAGTTTTAAAATCAGATGAAAAAATGATTAAAAGATTGGAAAATGAACAAGTTAAAGAAACTATGATAACATAGGCACAAAACTTTGGGTATAACATTGAATTGCAGAGGTGGCAAAAGTTGTGGGAAAGAAATGTTAAGATAACTTTGGCAACTTCCTATAAAGAAAACTTGTATAAAATGTTTATAGATGGTATCTATCACCCAACAGACTAGCTAAAATGTTTCCGAATATGTCAAATAAGTGTTGGAAATGTAAACAGAAACCTGGTACATTTTATCACATGTGGACCTGTGATAAAGCAAATAAATAAATAAATAAATATTGGGTTAAAATAAACAGATGACTTGGGGGAAATGTTGCAAAGATCTGCAATGTTTAAATAAAAAATATTTTTGTTAGGCATTCTCCCCAGTGATCTCGATAAACAAAATATATATTTGACTTTGCATGTAATAACAGTGGCAAGGATCGCATATGCGCAGTGTTGGAGAAATGAAGAGCTACCAGCTGAAGATTTGATCTTGAACAAGATATTGGACTGTGCAGAAATGGATAAATTGACTTTATCTTTTAAGGAAAAAGAAGATACATTTTATTACCAAACATGGGACTTTTTCTATCAATGGCTACAGAATTGGAACTCTAATATGGGCTAAAATACATAACCTTTGTAGAGAAATAAGACTTTGTACACAGTATGTTTGACGTCTTCAGAATAATTATTTGTTTAGTGAGTAGAAAACAATAAAACTTTAGAACCTAAAGAAATACAGGAAAAGGTACAAGAAATAGTAACAAAAAAAAATAATTCTAAATTGGCAATGTTCTTTTGATACCTCACTTTTTGGAATGAAGGCATGACTGGAACTGGGAGGGAAGCTCTCCCACTGAAGGACATGCAAAGTCCATTTGTCTGACTCTGCCTTAAGTGAGTGGGATGAGCAACCCAGTATAGGATACTATCCTCTGCTGTTAAGAAAAAGGCTGTCCTCCTACAGATCTCAGCTCTTGACTCAGTAAAAGACAGTTTTCAAGCAGTTATGGGTGAGATTAATGGGAACAGTGCTTCCTCAGATAAGGGTTTTCTTTAAAACAATATTCATATACTTACTTTAAAATAAATTTTGCTTCGTTCCAAAAGAAAGTGCCATTTTAGGGTTGTCTTTTGAGCTTCTGTCAGAGACTGGAACTCCTGAACCTAGTAGAGTAACCACAGTTTAATTGGCCTCATAAATTGAGCACATAAACATTTAATTGGCACATAAACATGAAATGAAGCACATGCCAACAAGAAGAAATGCTTTTCCAGGAGAAAATCCAGTGACTGGCAACCTAATCTTCCTTCAAACCAAATAACAACTTAAGTATCCCACTGCAGTTTTTCATAATTCCTTGAAGTGGGGGAAAAAAGAGTACATGAAAAGAAAAACTGAATGGAAAAATGTATTTGTGAATAAATAGATAACCAAATTATAATTTTAGTATAAGTTTAGTATGGTGTAATTATCACAGTACTAACATATTTACTTAGAAGTAAGTCTCATTGCCTTCCACAGAGTGTTCATTCTGAAAAGTATACTCAAATCGGCAGCAAAACCAAGCTAGTCTTAAGGGATCAGCAAATGCATTGCAACATTTCTCTTTTTAGGTTAGTCTGCTTCATTGCAGGCAGGATTGTTGCCAAAAGTTACAGGCACTGATGCCACACATAGCTTGACTAGGCTATGAATAATATTTCTTGTTAGCACAACATAACCAGATGCAAAGTTATTTCTACTACAGTATTTCTCACCGTGTAACCAAAAGTTTCCTCAGCTACTGTGTCTGAGAGCTTACAGGAATGAAGAGTGCCTGTTTGGTCAGTTAGATCAACTAGCAGATCAAAGCTAGCAAAGCCTGGCATTACATCTGAGGAGGAAGCCAATCTGCTGCAGAAAGAACATGTGTTTGTGTTTTCATTGACCACATAGTGACACTTAACACTGCAAAAAAGATAATTTTTTTTGTTAATTAATGTGCACAGAGTTAATTGATTTTCAAACTGAACTTTTGTTATGGAACTTTTTTCCATATCCACTTCTGGAGCACACACCTCTTCTTAAACTAGAATTTACAGACTGTCCCCTTTATCTGCATAAAAACAAATAGTACCTGTAGTCATGTTGAATTGCTAGTAACCGAATTCTCTGTGAACAAGTTGCATTGTGTAAAGACATCTTATTCTTTACTACTAGAGTAAAATACCTTAAGTACTAGAAGCAAATAGAATACAAAGAGCCCATCATCTCTGCTTCAAGTCTTTAAATCATTAAATGGCATCCTAAATGTGAATGATGGAACCAAAGACCCTTGGAGTTAGATTCTGTTCTTTAACTGTGTGCTGAAAATTTCATGCATATGTTCTTACTAACAAGGATTCTACCAGTCTAAGCTGTAGGTAGAAGGGGCCAGAAGGGGCCACAATTTCATGCAGTTTTGCAGCTGTACTTTCAGAGTGTACCAGAACATGTTTTCTGGAAACCAGGGTAGAAACTCCCTCAGGGCCAGGAGACTGGCCAAACTCCAACTAGATGCTGCTGCAATAGATTTTTCCTTGTACCATGTGCCCCCCACCATATTTGGTTTACATCTATGGTCACTGTGATCTCAAATGAGAACTCTCCTATGGAGGAGCTCTGATAGCCACAGCCTGAGAAACCATAGCATATTTCCTCATACTTTTACTGGAATGTGCGTAACTGCCATCACCAACCCTGAGAATGTGTGTGTTCCACTGAATAGTCTATGCACATTATCATGCTTCAGTAGCAGGCTGGGAAGAATGATTGGGGAGCAGAGGATCCTACGACATTCATGTTAGGGGAGGTCACAGTAGTTCAGAAAAGGCTCTGATGCAAAATTAGAAGAGGAAAGGGATTTGATGAACAGAGAGATTTGACATAGAGAAAAGAACAAAGGTTCAGGACAGTGCTTTGAAGGTAATGGCATGCTTACCATCTGTTTCGTATTATTTTAGCAGTTTCATTATCAATATTCAATGTAGAAATGTAGGCAAAAATAATGCCATAAAAATGATCTACTTTCCCCTCATTCTGCAAAGCTTTCATCTTTAATTGCTCCACTGTGAAAACATCAACTATTGTCTGCACTAAAGAACAGGAAAAAATTAAGGTTGTCTTGAAAAACAAAAACCTAACATGATTTAAAGTCAAAAGACAGTTCAGTGGACTTTGGATTCAATACAAATGAATTTAACATGAAGACAAACACTTCAAATAATAAAAGGTAAATTATTTGAGTTGATATATTAAGTTAGAGCTGATTTATCTGCATGTTGCCTTTTGACACTGGTATTTGTATAATAAACAAAACTGTTAAAGTTTCTAGATTAATTATGGTTTCCCAGATTGAAGTCCAACTGTTGGTTCATTGGGCCAGAATGAGTGAATGCAACATTAATTTATATTATTATATTTATAACATTTTATCCCTCAACCATTCTTAGTTGCTATTTCTCAGATTGATATGTACATGAGGACAAAACAGACCTGGTAATCTTTTTTTTTTTTTTAGGACCGTATGATAGAACCAAGCAAACTACAACTTGGTTCTGAGGTTTTTAATTTAAAAGGAAAAAGCCAGAATCAAGGTCCCAAGGAACATATTTGTCAAAGCAGTCCCTTGCCTGAAGAACACTCACAATTTATGGACTCTCTGAATTGATCTCCCATGTCATCATCCAGATCTAACATTTCTGCATTTTCTCTTATAAAGCTGAGCAAAACATTTGCTTCTGGTGTATCTTTAAAAAGATATTTTAAAAATCAATATTAATGAAAGTTAGCCTTTATAGTGCAAAAATACTTAATACAAAAATTTACCTTAACTTGGCCTTGTGTATTATGGTCAACTTCTGCTACAAAATTAAACTTACAAAGGTGCTTTATGCATCTATCTCGGAATTGTCTACTCTTTCTGAAAGTTGCTGCTGAAGCTCTTGGACAAAGTCCTTTCCCTTTCTAGCATGTGGCCTATGAGTTTCTGTCAAGGCTTTATACACAAACAGGGTTTTGAGGAGAGATTTGAAAAGAGAGAGGGGAATGATACCATGCAGTTATGGTAGTTATATCAGATATGAGAAAGCATATATGAGAGGCAGTTTCAAACATAAGGGGCAGCAAGGAAACATAGAAACACAGAAACAGAGTGAGTCAGAAGGAGCCTCCCAGGCCATCTAGTCTGACCCGTGGCTCTAGCTGGCTCCGCTCACAACATGTCTGCCATGTGCATGTTCAGCCTATCCTTAAACATGCTCACCGATGGGGCATCAACCACTTCCCGTGGAAGCCCACTCCATACCCTAGGGGTCTTAACTGCCAGGAAATACTTCTTGGCATCCAAGTTGGACCTTGGTTCCTTGAGCTTGCCTTAATATAAAACCTTAATATAAAAACTTAAACTACTATTGTATTAAAACAGTAGACTATTATAATGCATTTTATGACAAATAAAAGTCTTAGCACTCTCTTACCAGGCTGAGTAGTAATTATAGTTTTTGAGATTACAGTTGCAACCATGCAGTTTCTAAATTTGTCAAAGTTTATTCTTAAATCTGATGCAAATATCACTAGGAAGGAATATTAGAGTTCTAGGTGTTAGTTTTGGTGAAGTTTTACTCTCAGATAAATACATTCTGCAATTAAAAATTAATAATACCTGTTTCTTGAGGTAGCCAGCTCTGTGCAAGTTGGATTGATTCATTATCCCAGCTAAAGATTTAATAGTGTTTAATTAATACAAACATGGCTTTTTTTTTAAATATCTGTTAATTTACAAGTTTCTATTTTGTAAAATCAGGAAAGTTACCAGATATTAAAAACATACAACATAATGACCTGGTTTACATGACAGACCGGGGTTAACAATGGAAATGTTAACAATGGTGAAATTGTACTATATGCAGCTATTTTGCATACTGAATTTCTGCTTGAGGGTTGTCACGTCATGGGAAACTGGCAAGCATAGTTTAAGTGGGTGGAGGGTTAAAGGAATCAGATCCTTTACCCATTCACTTTACCACATTCCTGCCCTCCCAACATTTCCAAAACATCTTTTCCCTTTCTTTTTACTCTGTCCAACGCTCACCTTCTCCTTCACGCTTCTGCAGCGCACTGCCCATCCCTTCTAGCGATGTGTCTCCCCACCCCTTACTGTGTTGCACAATCCTCTTTATTGGTAAGTTGCATGGTCAGAGAAAGCAGCTGGCATTGCTCTTCAAAGAGCCTGCCCAGCCAAAATGCACGATTCTAAGGGGTCCTTCTGCAGTGTCAGACATGGGAGGGATATCCCAGGAACTTGTCTGTGTCACTTAAGAACTTCTCCAAAATAAAATGGAATAAAATAAAAACCCCTTAGACTGACAGGGGTTCTGTATTCCTGAGCATAATGAACATTCTAGATTGAGAGGTAGTATGCTACTGAATGGCAGATACCAGGGATGGGCAGAAGAATGTTGAAAAATAGGAAAAGGCTTCAATCATGCTTTGCTCTGAGACTTCATGGAGGCACTTGCTGGTCACTGTTGCAAACAGGATGTTGGACTAGGTTGACCTTAAGTCTGCTCCACTAGAGCTCAGCTTATTAAATATTATTTACCTATAAATATCCTCATACTAACATTCATGCATACATTGATCTATGGATGGTGCTAGACAATATTTAGCTCTGAGCAAGTAAGATAATCAGTAGCCTAACTAAATGGCTTCTTTTATTTCCTCATCTCGATGATGACCTGTCATAATGGATTTGCAGCTCTGTTTCTCCCTGCCTCTCCTGAGAGGAAAATTTGTCAATAACTTATAGAAATAGGTAATATATTAAAAGCCATTTGATTCAGCAGCCTTATATATAATAGAGGTTAATGGATATTCCTGCCATTTAATGAACATTGGTGTATAATCACAGAGGGCACACAATTAACAAGCAGCTTCAGTTAATGGTAGCAATACATACTGACATTCCATGTAGTCATTTATATTAATGGGTATAGTGGAATTGTGATTTAGAATGCAGCTTACCATATCATTGCAAAGGAAGATTCTGTTTCATCATACAGCCATATTTCACATCTGTGACCTGTCCGTCTGTCTGAAGTGGTGAAAACCTTTGGCTCACCAACCTTAGTAAAGTGAAAAGACTAATTTTGATCTCAATTTTATATTCATGCATATCTTGTCAAACAGTCTACTGATCTGTGACGCCTGTGCAGGACAGTTTCCCAGTGGATTATGCCCTTAGCAAATGTTGTTGTTTTTTTTAAGATTAAAGAAATACAGGGAAATTTCAGCTAGACGTGAGTATGAGTATTAATTCAATAAACCAATTAAGGATAATATTTATCTGTGTGTAGATGTAAAAAAAAGCTTTAGGTAAGTCTCCTCATATTGCCATGCTGTGTCAGTACACCATTGCAGATATATGAAGCTTTTATTGAATATTACTTTAGAAACTTTTCATTCATGTTGCTTGTTAACTTTTCTTAGCACTAAATCATGCCATGCTGATTGAAATGAAAGAAGATCCAATAAATTCTTATCATACAGGAATCAATTAGATACTAATCTATGGCAGAAACTCTCCAAATTGTATGGTTTTTCTGACTTACTGACTTAATGGCTGCAAGAACATTAATTATTCTTCCATCCAGGTTCTGTCCATTGGCCACGATATCCCCCAGACAGTAAAAATCTTGAGGGTCCTTCACAGGTAGATTCAACACAGACAGCAGTTTGGGGTCTACCTCATAGCAGGAGCATATTCGGACAACAGAATGATTCTCGCTGACCAGTAGCTTGTAGCAGCTGACATACAGATATATAACACGTAATCCATCATTCTGATTTCTATACTATGAGCTGTTGTTATCCTTGTGTTATACTGATGTTGTGAAAATTACATGCAATACAAGTTTTATTGGTCTGTCAAGTCTAACACCTGAAAACAGGGACTCTGTTGTAGGCTGTAGTTCTATCAATACAAGTGTGTCATGGCTGAATGTTCAAATATAGGCCAACCTTTTGATTAACAGAGTTCCTACTAAAAACTCTGAAATGGCTTCCTGGTGTCTGGCAAAAGTATTCACCTACTCAAAGTTCCTCAGAAATTATGTAGAAGTAGAATGGTTTCCATAATCAAATTCTGCAAACATCCTGTTTTCAAAGCAACAATTCAGAGGTCTAGTTTGGTGACTAATTGAAGGTGCAATTGACTGTAATCCTGTACCCACTGACTGGGGACTACACCACATTGAACTCAGTGGGATTTATTTTCAAGTATGCATGTGTAAGATTGTGCTATAAGACACACCTAGCCAGGTGACCCCAGGCCACACACTAAGTCTCAGCCTAATCTATGTCATATAGCTAATATGGGGATAAAAGAGGAAGAAGGAGAGTAATGTAAGCTGCTTTGAGCTTGGCAGTAGACAAATACAGCAAAACGAACACCAAACAATTCTTTCCCATACACTTATTGTGGTAGGATACATCACAGGATATATTAAGCAGTGAGTATCTTTCAGGGCTCCTTCATGGATCACTGCCTTGTCATGGCGAAGGAGCTTGTGTAGCTCAATGAAGCTATGAGCTCTGCCGTGCAGGGCCACCGAAGATGGACAGGTCATAGCAGAGAGCTCTGACAAAGCGTGATCCACTGGAGAAGAAAATGGCAACCCACTCCAGTATCCTTGCCATGAAAACCCCATGGACAGCACCAAAAGGCAGAAAGATATGATGCTGGAAGATGAGTCCCTCAGGTCGGAAGGTGTCCAATATGCTACTGGGGAAGGGGAAGAGCGGAGGGCTAGTACTAGTAGCGCCAGAAAGAATGAAGCGACTGGGTCAAAGCCGAAAGGACACTCAGTTGCAGATGTATCTGGTGGTGAAAGGAAAGTCTGATGCTCCAAAGATCTATACTCAGAAACCTGGAATGTAAGATCCATGAATCAAGGGAAGCTGGATGTGGTAAACAAGAGATGACAAGACTGAACATCGACATCTGAGGAATCAGTGAACTAAAATGGACAGGAATGGGTGAATTTAATTCAGATGACCATCAGGTATACTACTGCGGGCAAGAATCCCTCAGAAGAAATGGAGTAGCTTTCATAGTCAACAAAAGAGTAGGAAAAGCAGTACTGGGATACAATCTCCAAAACGACAGAAATGATCTCAGTTCGAATCCAAGGCAAACCATTCAGCATCACAATAGTCCAAGTCTATGCCCCAACCACTGGTGCTGAAGAGGCTGAAGTTGACCGGTTCTATGAAGGCCTACAACCACTTCTAGAATTAACACCAAAAAATGATGTCCTTATCATCATTTAAATGCTAAAGTAGGAAGCCAAAAGATAACTGGAATAACAGGCAAGTTTGGCCTTGGAGTACAAAATGAAGCAGGGCACAGGCTGGTAGGAATTTGTCAAGAGAATACGATGTTCATAGCAAACACTCTTTTCCAACAACCCAAGAGACGACTCTACATATGGACATCACCAGATGGTCAACACAGAAATCAGATTGACTATGTGCTCTGCAGCCAAAGATGGAGAAGCTCTATACAGTCAGTAAAAACAAGACCAGGAACTGACTGTGGCTCAGATCATGAGCTTCTTGTTGCAAAATTTAGGCTTAAATTGAAGAAAGTAGGGAAAAGCACTAGACCACTCAGGTATGACCTAAATCATATCCCTGATGAATATACAGTAGAGGTGACAAATAGATTTAAGGAATTAGATCTTATAGACAGAGTGCCTGAAGAACTATGGACGGAGGTTCGCAGCATTGTACAAGAGGTAGCAGCTGTCCCAAAGAAAAAGAAATACAAGAAAGCAAAATGGCTGTCTGAGGAAGCTTTACAAATAGCTGAGGAAAGAAGGGAAGCGAAAGGCAAGGGAGAAAGAGAAAGATACACCCAATTGAATGCAGAATTCCAGAGAACAGCTAGAAGAGATAAGAAGGCCTTCTTAAATGACCAGTGCAAAGAAATAGAAGAAAACAATAGAATAGGGAGGACCAGAGATCTCTTCAAGAAAATTGGAGATATGAAGGGCAGGTTTCATGCAAAGATGGGCATGATAAAGGACCAAAATGGCAGGGACCTAACAGTGGCAGAATAGATTAAGAAGCGGTGGCAAGATTATTCAGAAGAACTATACAAGAAGGTGCTTAACATCCCCGATAACCACGATGGGGTGGTCACTGACCTCGAGCCAGACATCCTGGAATGTGAAGTCAAATGGGCCTTAGGAAGTCTGAGCAACAACAAAGCTAGTGGAGGTGACAGTATTCCAGCCGAGCTATTCAAAATCTTAAAAGATGATGCAGTAAAAGTGCTACACTCAATATGCCAGCAAATTTGGAAAACTCAACAGTGGCCACAGGATTGGAAAAGGTCAGTTTATATTCCTATCTCAAAGAAGGGCAATTCCAAAGAATGTTCAAACTACCGCACCATTGCACTCATTTCACATGCTAGCCAAGTTATGCTCAAAATCCTGCAAGCTGGGCTCCCGCAGTATGTGCACCGAGAACTACCAGAAGTTCAGGCAGGATTTCGAAGAGGCAGAGGAACTAGAGATCAAATTGCCAACATATGCTGGATCATGGAGAAAGCTAGTGAGTTCCAGAAAAACATCTACTTCTGCTTCATTGGCTATGCTAAAGCCTTTGATTGTGTGGATCACAACAAATTGTGGCAAGTTCTTAAAGAAATGGGAGTACCTGACCATCTTATTTGTCTCTTGAGAAACCTATATGTGGGTCAAGAAGCAATAGTGAGAACTGGACATGGAACCACTGATTGGTTCAAAATTGAGAAAGGAGTTTGGCAAGGCTGTATACTGTCGCCCTGCCTATTTAACTTATATGCAGAGCACATCATGAGAAAGGTGGGGCTAGATGAATCTCCAGTTGGAATTAAGATTGCTGGGAGAAATATCAACAACCTCAGATATGCAGATGATACCACTCTAAATGGCAGAAAGTGAAGAGGAACTAAAGAGTCTCTTGATGCGGGTGAAGGAGGAGAGTGCAAAAGTTGTTTTGAAACTCAACATTAAGAACACTAAGATCATGGCATCCGGTCCTCTCACTTCCTGGCATATAGGTGGGGAAGAAATGGAGGTAGGGACAGATTTTATTTTCCTGGGCTCCAAGATCACCACAGATGGGGACTGCAGCCAAGAAATTAAAAGATGCTTGCTCCTGGGGAGGAAAGCTATGGCAAATCTAGACAGCATACTAAGAAGCAGAGACATCACCCTGCCACCAAAAGTGCATACAGTCAAGGCCATGGTTCAGCCAGTTGCAATGTATGGCTGTGAAAGCTGGACCATAAGGAAGGCTGAGCGCTGAAGAATTGAGTACTTTGAATTGTGGTGCTGGCGGAGACTCCTGCAAGTCCCTTGGACTGCAAGGAGATCAAACCAGTCAGTCTTAGAGGAGATCAACCCTGACTGCACTTTAGAAGGCCAGACACTGAAGGTGAAACTCAAATATTTTGGCCACCTAATGAGAAGGAGGGACTCCCTGGAGAAGAGCCTGATGCTGGGAACATTGGAAGGCAAAAGGAGAAGGGGACAGCAGAGAATGAGGTGGCTAGATGGAGTCACTAGGGCATTGGGTGTGGGGTTGGGTGTACTCTGGGGGATGGCGGAGGAGGATGAATGTTGTCCATGGGGTTGCGATGGATCAGACACGACTTCGCGACTAACAACAACAGCAACAATCTTTCAGGGTTTGCAAAAATAATGGACAATAATTGAGAGAATTTTGTGCCTCAAATGCTTACAGCAAGTGCAGTTTGGATTCATACTATGACCTAGTTTGTGCAATATGACAATCCAACATGGGCAGTGAACCACAAAGTTGTCATGTCATCTGAACTCTGTCCAGTTGTCATTCAGTGTGTGTGTGTTTTTTTAAATAACAAGCAACCCCAAGGATCCATGGGCTGTTATAGGGTTTGTCTTTCTTATGGTGGGTTGTTGTGTTGTCTGAATCCAGATCACCATTCCCACCATGGGTAAAGACTAGCAGACACGACTTGCTTGGCAAGAGCAGCAAAAGCCCCTTGTTGTTCTTCCCAAGCTTGACCTGGCCCTTGTGGGGTGGCTTGCACTGTCCTGCTGTGCTCCCCATCATGATCAAGAACATTTTATGACTGCCCCACAGCTTTTTGCATTTTAAACCTTTTCCTCCAGTGATTGAGAAAGCCACCCTGAAAGCTGGCTTCTGTGATACCCATTTTGGCAGCCAACCAGAGCTCCCTCAAAGTGCCCCCTTGAAAAGGGACTGACAGTGGCTGGCTGATTCTTTAACAAACATTTTATTGCACACAAATGGCACAAATAAAATTATATTTAGATTTAGTTTAGATTTTTAACTTTGTTTAGCCACACTAGACAACTGTGGATGTTTAGAGTTGCACAAGTGTGGAAATCTGAAGCTTTAGCTGGGGCAGTGTCCTGGGGAAAAGGGGTACTGGCTGCCACGGTGCAGCATACAACATCCCTGGACACTGACTCAAAACAGTTTCAAAACATTCCCCCACCTTGTGTTTGTCTTGAAAGCTATCAAAAGGCAAGTGGGTTGTCAAAGTGCATTTCCTCAAAAAAGGTAAGAGGAAGCACTTTTGCACTTTCCCAAACACCACCAGTTTTGGCATGAAGGGCAAACTGTGCACTACTTTGTGGACTGTCAGGGTGAAAAGCAAAAGTTAAGGAAATTGCCACAAAGGTGGTGTAAATCACACCACCCTTTTTCCATAGCTGTCAAGAGAAATCAAAGGAGGGAAAAACCTATCTGAAGCCACTTCAGGCCAATATTCAGGGTTGGCACCTGCTGCACCTTCACAGCAGAATGTTAGGCTCGACCCTCCTGGCACTAGGTTAGCATAACAGGATTAGCATAACAGGATTAGCATAACAGGATGCTTATCAGCTGTCCCAGGGCGTTCTCTCAGAAAATGGGCAAGGCTCATCAAAGGCATAAAACTTAAAAAAAATAGACTAACCGCAAACCATTCTGCTTCTGTATCCAGCTTGCTTGCTCAACCTGATGCCGCTGCCTACGTGACTTTGTAATATACCATTGTTCGCTCATTTGACTGTAATCGATTGTAAAGGTATAAGAACCCCGTTGTTCTTCTGCTAGGGACCTGCACTCTTACCAGAGTGTTGGTCCCTGCGCAGGTAATAAACTCCTCTTAAAAAATACCAACTGGTCTCTGGTGTCATCTGTAAAACTGTGGGACACAACACAGATACTCTGAAGAAGATTGCTCTAGACAAGGCTTCAAATTCCCACTTACATAACTGAGCAACTGTAACAAAAAGTTTTAAAAATAATTATACAAACTTATTTGTGCAATTAAACTTTTGTTTGCCTAAAGGGGGAGAGGTGTTTCTGAAACCTCCTCCAAGGTGCAAGTAAGGCACTCTGCAGAGGCTGTCAGTGACTGACAAAATGGGGATTTCAAGATCTCGCTTCAAAAAGTTTAAAGTGCAAAAAAGCTGTAGAAAGCCAAAAACAGTCACTGATCACAGTGTTTTGGTCCTGTCAGGGTTTCCTCTGGGATATGTGTGGAGGACAAAGGCATAAGGAAGGGAGGGAGTGCACAACTCAGTTCAAGCCCAATGTCAAGCACATTGTGTGATGTTCACAGAACAACCAACCCACCATGGCTTTTGTGTTAAGGATTACCCTATTTTGTGCCTTTTTATCCACAGTAAATAAATGATAAACTGTACCAGATTATTCTTTGGAAAAGTACTAATGGAAATGTCTTAACTGGGCAACATTTCAGAGTTATATTAACATGCAAGTTTTTACAAGAGATGAACCATTGCACCTCTGCAATACAGTATTACCTATATACACAAGAATAACTTCTGTAAAGTGATGTGGATCTTAAGTAAGATGCTACATAACTCAGAACCTTAAGTAATAATTGAATGATATTGTAGTGTTGCCTAGCTGTTAGAGAGCTGTGCAGTATAGTGGAGATCATTAACTCCCTATCTTACTTATATAATTTTTAAATAGTGATGTCTACATATTTTGATAGCAATTCTCTGCGTATGCCACTTGTAACTACATGATTTTAACCTTACTGCAGGCACAAGAATCTTGCTTTACCTAGGAGTTGAAGGGCTGAATTTTTCTTCCTTTTCAACCTCCTTTGTGAGTACTAAAGGATTTTCAATTATGACTGTAACAGAAAAAAATGGAAGAAAGCTTTCAGTGACAGCAATCGATATATTAAACAGGTAACACTTGCAACTCAATCCTAAGGCTTTGTATAACATGTGTGATAACAAGTATGGAGTCCAACAGCAACTTTATACCAATCCAAGGCCTCAGAATTTAATGTTTTATCATAGTAGAATTAAATATTATGGAAAAATAACATTATTTTAGATTGTAAGCCTGCAAGCAAGTTTTTTGAAATATATAATGGTTTTAGCCATATAAATGTGGCACAATCAGGACAAAGTTAAGGCCCATTAATTTCATGGGAGATCCATTGAAATGAAGGAGCTATGCAGAGCATTGCAATCCTGTGCATATTTCTTAGAAGTAAATCCTACTGTGTTCAATGGTCCTTACTCCCTGGTATCTGATCATATGATTGCACCCTTAAATACTTAACTCTGGGTCTGACCTAAATTTTATTATTATTGCATACCATTCTTAGCAGAAGGAAACATAATAACAACTTAGGATCTTCAAGGAAATCTAGGAGATTTTGTTTTGTTCTATGTCTTTTGATGATAGTTTTGCTACATTTGAATATATTGTTAAGTTTACTTTTTCCCCTCTTGTTCAGACAATTTGAACATTTTGTTTCCAGTTAAACGGTAAGCAACTCCTAGGCCACAAAATCATATGAATTTGAAGAGTGGAACAGCAGTTAAATTGAAATATGTTCAGAATAAAGTTCAGCTTACCACAGTCACCAACTCGAAAGCTTTCTGTAAGTAATTTAATGTAGTCTTCTCTTCCCCAACAATTTACATTTATGAAGTAAGATGGCGAATCACGAACAGTAAAACCAAAAGTGTACCTTTCTGATCCAATGTCTGCAGAGAGAAGAGGGATTTTTTAAAAAATCAGTTAAAAGTTTGCATTTAGTGTCAGGCATGCGGTAATATAATCTATGCTTATTGTTACATTCTCCTTTTAAATCATGGCACAAATCAGTGCAAATAAAATGGAACACTGGTGCTGTCATCGATCCCAGCTACTTGCTGTTGTGCAGAGGAGGGGGGCTGTCAGCACCACAGTCTCAGGTGCTCTTGGAGGAAGGAGGGGTGCCCAATTTCTTTCTTTTTTTAAAATGTGTATATGACATACTGTTAGGGAATGTGGAGACTGGAGCAGCAACAAAAAAGAACCTTGGGATCAGAGACAAAGGGACATCTAGAAGCTCAACATGCTGGATATAGCTAATGGAGCATCTAAATTAGAAATACGTAAAAACATGCAATAAAGTAGAGCCATCTTGTTCATACCACTAGAGGTCACCAAATTAAAAAAAGAAAACAAACATGCAAAACTTCTTTTCATGAACGGAAAAATGGGCTAGAGTCACCTCAATTAAGTTTTATACAAAGAAGTTGATAGCAAGTGCTCTACTGCTTTGAAAATAAACTTTGCATTGAACTTATACATTGAACTAAGTATAAAATAGTTATTAGATGTCCCAGAAATAGTGGGAGAGGGCCAGTGCTCCAAACTTAGTTGAAGCATCTGCCTTTAAAAAGACTACAAGTGCAGGCAACAGTGAAAGGTAAACAGAGTTGAGAGGCTGCTTGTTCCCCTTAATTTCTTGTTACTTCTCTTATTCTGTGTAATCTTCATCAACATTTCAACGTCGTTTGTCCAGAAAAAATTACCATCCAATTATATGCATGCGGTTTAGTTAGAGGAATCACTGACAGAAAAATGAAGACTAAGCAACAGAGGTTTAATGCCTTAAAAAGAACTTTTACTTTTTCTGTCTGGAAAGGCTTTGGCATCTGTTTTCCTAATTACCACACCAATTATACTCTAGGAGAAAAAAAAGAGATTACAAAATATATACATAAAATTCAGATGTTCAGGATGGGTTTGATTTCACAGGTTTTGTATTCCTTCAATAATAAAAAGTACCACTGTTGCTATTTTTATGCAATTGCTCTACAGAAGTATTAACAGATTAACAATATAAGTAGTTCCCTCTGTATATGAAAGGATTGACAAGTTACATATGTTATTTAAAAAACACCCATATCTGTTTGCCTTTATATAAGGAGAAAGCTTACCTGAAAATGTATCTAGCTTTTTTTTCTCAGACCAGAAGTACAATGTACAAAGCTATTTGTACTAGTAATGAAGGCACAATGGGGAGTAAGATCATACCAGACCAGTTAGGGGAATGGTCTGTGAATCAACCTGATGAGGACCGTGTGATTTTCTCAGACCTTCCATGTTATAATTATAGGTAAGTGGCTGTATTTCTGTTGCTTTTTTTCACATTTTGAAAGCATCTCACATTAATTTCTATATCTCCATGAATTCTCCCCCAAGGTGGAGACAGCCAGCCTTCTCAAATCCTGTTTTGACAGCAACTGACAGTCCCTTCAAAGTATCAGAGTGGCACCTTAGGGATTCTGTCAAAGCATTTCTTTGTGCACAACATGTTTTATGTTCTTAAAAACAGTTTCTTCTTAAACATTAGGATGAATACAAAAAATATGGCTACACTATACAACTGCAGAGTGTAGTTTGCAGGTTTTTGATGGTGGGAATTTGAAACTTTAAATGGGGGAATGTTGGGGGAAGGGGTCCTGCTGTAAAGGAGCAGCCTTGGACATTGCCCCAAATAGGCTTCCTCACACCCTTTGCTTTATTTGGATGGTTTCCAAAAGATAAGCTGTCAAAAGAAACCAAAGGCATGAGTGATCTTGGCTCACAAAAGGGGATATTCTAATTTATACTACTTTTGCAGCAAGATACTTTTCTTTTTTCACCCTGACAATCCTTAAGGTAGCAATGCACATTTTGCACTTTCCCCCAAGACTCTAGGTGCTCAGGAAAGTGCAAAAGTGTATGTGCCTTTTTGTGCACTTTTTGTGAGGGAAAGGATTCTGACAGCTAGGTCTGATAATTCTGGGTTCCTTTCAAAGAGGGGGTTTGACAGGGAAATGGGCTTTTTTGACTGGGACACATGCAGGCAGATGCTGTTACCCACAATGGTGTATTGTGTTGTGCAAACTCAGACTATTTTCCACAGGGTGGCTTGTTTTATGTCCACAAGACACTCCAATAATTCATAGCTTGCTCTAGAAGTTTTTCTAGCCACAGTGAGTGTCTTGTTGTCTGAATCTGAGTGATAAAGCCTGTTGTGGGTGTCAGCAACTGGCTAGTAACTTCCTTGGCAAGATAAACAAAACCCCTTCCTACTTTTGCCAAGCTTGCCTGGATACCAACTAGCCCTTGTGTTGTGTGAACCCAATCACAGACAAACAAAATGAACAACCCACTTGTTGAAAAATAGGCTTTTAGAGTTCTGTTCCTTTCAGTCACTAGGTGGGGCAAGAAAACTATTCCTGTATTTATCTGGATGAGTTCCTTCAGAGTATGTGTGTAATGGAACATAATTTCTTTAAGCATCCAAAAGTTTTCTTTTAAAGTGAAATCTATTAATTCACAATCAAAATGTTAACTTCCCCGACTCACAGTAATTTAATTAGATGGCAACATATCCTGTGTATAACTCTGTTGATAATAGATAACTGGTTCCTGGAATTCAAAATGTCATTTAATGCCTTACAACCCTGTTTACAACAATATTTATTTCAAAGTCTTCTTAAAGTTTTATCTTTACAAAATTATTTAATTTAGAGTACTTTAATCGAGTGAAATTCCATAATTCTAAATTAAAAACAGATGAGCCATTCCTCAACCTCTTATAAATAGCCTTAATTCTGAGGGAATGATTCCCAAATGTGAAATGTTTGGGATTTTAGCCACACTGCTGAACTAATCAAATCAGAAAAGCGAAACTTTTGTGTCTATTTGACAGTACTTTGTGCTGACATTTTCCAAACTCCAGTTATTTTTTTCTATCTTCAGCTTAGCTCATTTAGAAGTTTGGCATTTGTATCACTTAGAACAGTGATATAGTTGTTCTTTTATATATCATTTCATGAAAATAATGTAGTGTCTAGTTTATTGGAGCTAGCTGTTTATGTCAAACACACACATTTCTGCTACTAGCTTCTTTTAAGATTGATAACTTAAATCCCTGGCATTAAATAAATTATATTTAAATTTACTTTCTAAATAGAAAGCAAGATTTGTTTGCCAAATTAAACTACAATAAAGTAAGTTCTAGCTCAGTCCATTTTAAAATGTTTAATCTTCTCACTGTGTTGTAAAATAAACCTTCTGTCCCACAAGAGAACCTTTGGAAAAGTTCACATGCTTTCTTTTAACTTTTCATAAAGGAAAGAACTAGTCTTATGATAAATCAGCAAAAGGTTCACAATATTTGTGTACCAGTTATATTTGATGAAAAGTGAAAACTGGAAGGTACACATTGCTACTGTCACTACTGTTTAAATAAACTGCATCTGACTTTCACATTCAAAGTTATCTATTATGAGTCCCTGAATTATTAATCTTTAGGCTGTTATCCTATATGCATTTACTTGAGAGTCAACCCTATTGAATGCCATGAGACTTACTTCTGAATAAACATTCATAAAACTCAGGTATACAATTCACACAACTACAACTAATTATAAGTAATCCATTAAACTATATCTAAAAGGAATGAGGGAACTGTAGAAATTTCAAAATGGTACCTACAGTGGAACCTTGGCTCACGAACTTAATCCATTCCAGGACTCTGGTTGTGACCCAAATTGGTCATGAGCCAAGTTAAATTTCCCCATAAGGTTCAATGTAAATAAGGTTAATCCGTTCTGTAACTATTTTGTTTAATCAGAAAAATGTGAAGCAAAGTGACAAAGAATAACAAAGATCACGGCCATCTCCCCGCCCTTCCAGCATCCCTGCACACACCCGTCATCCTGGCGCATCGGGGGCGGGGGGGAGATAGGCATGATCATGCTTGAGGGGAGATGGCAGAGATCGCAGTTGCGCTTGTGCAGGAAAGATGGCCGCAATCTGGCCATCTCCCCTCCCCCAGCACGATCGTGGCCATCTTCCCACTCAGGGGGGGGGGGGGGGAGATGGCCACAGTTGCTACCCAATGTGGAGTTCGTGACCTGAGTCAAAATGTTTATGAAATTTTTGTTCGTGACCCACTTTAGTCGTGAACTGAGGCATTCGTGAGCCGAGGTACCACTGTATTCTCTGTCTCTCTCTCTCATAAAACTTGCAACTCCACTTTTTTTTGTTAGATGTTGCATTATAGTTGTTGTCTCTTTTCCATATGGATTAGCTTTTTAAGTCTAAGGCTACAATCCTACACAGGTTTAGACAGTGAAAAACACCACACCACAAAACAAACTTCCACACATTCCAGCATTCTCCAGCCAGCCTTGCTGGGAGCTTTTGGACTTTTGTTCTGCCTAAACATACATAGGATTGCACTATAAGTCAGTTTTCTTAACATTTTGTATTCCAACAAACCAAGCTTAAGTTCTGTTGCATTCTGACAATATAGCATGGGACTCAGTAGCACAGTCTCAGCACCATTATCTTATCTCTGTGATATGGTTGTGATTTGGTCCTATCATATAAAATGGAGGGCAATAGATATAAGTACTAATGAACCAGGGTCCAGGAATTAGTCTTGCACAATGCACTATGTCAAGCCAAGGGGGGAATAATTCAGGTTAGAGTCCTTGCCTATAAAGGCAGTAAGCATATATGCAACAGTGCGAAGGATTTTCAGCCTGCTAATGCCATGCAAGCCAGCGAAGCATGGTTTTAGCTTCTCTACCTGTGGTAACATAAGCCACTAGTGCCATTACAGTAACTAGTTCGGCTGCATAATAGGCAACTCCAATATTCTACCTCTTCATTGTATTCTAGAAGTGACACCCACAAGTGCCACTGTGCCCATAAGGCCAGGCTGAGGTGCCTGCCAAGCTATTTCCCCATTATGCATGTGAATGGAATGATTCCTCCTTTCACTTGAAGGGGTGTGTTTGTGGGGAGCACTCCTTGCTGAGAAATGGCTTGTGTGAAATACACCCCTTCCCCACCACCAAGGACCTTTGAGGAAAAAGGATCCTTAATGGGAAGGGTGAGCCTTGCCCCTCTGTTGCATTTTTACTCCCTGTACAAGTGATCTCCACTGTCTCGTATAAGGAGCACTCCCCGTTCCCAGCTTTTTCTCACCCCATGCAAATGAATGGGGAAATTGCTTTATTCAGTCACACAGGGACTGAGAGACAAGTGAGAAACAAAGTGGGACTAGAGACAGACAGACAGACAGACAGACAGAAAGTGGGGCGGGGGAGAAAAGGGGACAATAGACAGGGAGCAGGAAGGAAGGAAACAAACCAGGGAGGGAGAGAAAGCATGAGAGAGGAAGGTAAGAAAGATGCCAGAGAGAAAGGCCAGAGGGCAAATGAAAAGGAAGGGAAGAGGAAGGCGAAAGAAAGGGAGCAAGCCAAAGAGAAAGAAGGAAAGAAGGAGGCATCATGTGGTGTGGGCAAGAGGAGAGACAGAAAGAAAAGAGCCAAAGAGAGCGAGAGAGAGGAACCTTGGTGGGTAGGACACACACAAGGTGCACATTCATGTACACGCAGAGTACTCCTTACATTTCTGTAAAGAGGTTTACAGCAGTCAATTTGTGTTGGTTCTCACAGCACTTTTTCAAAATGTCAAATGTGTCCATAGGCTCAGAAAGGTTGGTGACCCCTGCTCTAGCATGACTAAAATAGAGTCCAGGACCCAGAGGAGCCAATTCAACTATAAATTACCTTGTGGAATTTTGGGGAACTGGCATGTGGGTATGATGGTGGTAAAACCTCCCCAGGGTCAACTGAGCATCCCCTCCATAAATTGTGATAGAATTCAGGTAAGCAGACAAAGGATTATACCCTGGATGCGCTACTCTAATAAAGAAAAGGAGGATTCATGGAAAGGAATGCCGTTCTGATTCTGCATGTACAGAGCACACAAAGATGCAGTGGACATGCACATATGCTCCTTACAATATAGTTTTTTCCCCTTTTCTCTGGGATTATCTGATAGAGATATTCAGCAGTTAGGAAATAACAACCAGCAATGGAAAATATTGCCTTATTTAAAAATTGGTCAAGGGAAGCTGGGCATGAATGGGAATACCCATGTAAGTAAAGCTTCCAATCCATAGCCTAAAAGAATGCCTCTTCAATGTATTGTGATGATATAATGCAGACTCTGCAGAAATTATCAACTCAATGTCTATTTAAAGAAAATACAAAGAAGTCTCTGATGCTTCAGTCAATGAACTGCCCAGTCAACATTGATGGCTGTGATATCCATACTCCTTGGTCAAGAAAAGCATCAGTTTTCACTTTCTGAGGGAACACAAAGAGAAGCTAACATACTTTGTGCCTAATAATTATGCCAACACTGTGAATATATAAAGACAATTTTACAGTAACATAATACAGTTATATACAGTTTCAGTGAAGAACAAAAAGTACTTATATATCAAGACCTACAGGATGAGCAAGATTAGGGTGCACATCAGAAATGGCTACAAACTTTTGTGCTGAGAGGGAATAAGCCATTCTTTTTACCTGAAACTAGAGAAAACATGTTAGCATGTCATGAAATATTAAAACTATAGCAAATCACTTAGAGAACTCTATACAGACGTGATCAATAAAGCTATTTTTAATTGAAGATGTGTTGATATATAACACCTCTTTTCTGGGGAAAACTTAGGGTTCTGAAGTCTTTTGAATCTGTATGAGAGTCTGCTTCTTTTCTGTATGAGAATAATATAAAAATACATTCTTTCATTTAAATTTTACTTACATTTCATTTTAAATATTACATTTTGATATTTTATTGGCACTTTCACACATTATGAAATCTGCACATGAAACCTGCATTGTGCAAAGGCAGTTCAAAAACAGATTTTAGATTGTACAAAAAAGTAAATATAAGGCACAACAGTAACAAGCTATATAGATTTCACATGTCTACATTAAGACATTAAGGTTTTTATTTATATTCCTCTATGGATAGTCCCCCCCCACCCAGAAATTTGTTCCCTCAAAATTCAGCCCCAAGCCTATCAATTTTTGTTTAGTTCCATTTCTCAGAGTTGCATAAAAGGAACCAGTCAGGGTTGTGGATCCACTGTTGGATGTAAGATGAGAAAAGCCAGGGTTCAGGCTGACCATGAAGCTAAATGGCTCATTCCAGATCTCTTAGCAAGCATAGCTGATTCTTATTAATGATAAAAAGGAGGAACTTACTGAACACCTTGGAAGGACAGGATAAAAAAATATATCAATTATACAAAAATAAGAAACTGTGATTTTAAAAAATGAATCGTCTTTGAAGAAAATTAGCATAGCAAGCATGTGTACCCAGGACTCAAAGAATTTTTGTTAAGCCGTTAAAGCCCAAGAGAATTTGAATAAAACTCTGAAGCCACCGCCTCATATGCTGTAGCCCAAACTCATGAATTTTCTTTCAATTTATTAAAACCTAGATGTTTTGAAATCTTATTCCTTAAAGAGGCATTATTTCCAGTGCTGGCTCCAGGAAAACTAAATAAATAAAAATGAAGGTGAACTAAGAGACGATGAAATAAATTCTGGAGGCCTTTCTTCCTAGCCCTACCTACAAGCCAATCCTTTATTACTTATTCTAGTGGCATTTGCTTTTTCTAATAAGAAAAAGGATTAAGGAACTGCTGATGGTAGCAACAAGTGCTTTTTAGAAATGAACAGTAGCAACCAATAAAAATAGAAAATAATATTTTGGGGTTAACAAAACTTGGACTCTGAAAGAGTTTGCTCTAAGCCTGCAGCATCAAGAAGCCAAACAATTTTGTAGTTGCCTAAAGACTTTCTGGTTTGTTGCAAAACATTCATTTTAAAAACCAGATTGTAGAGTAAAAATGTCTTTACTGTGGAATGCTCAAAACTCCAGGCCTCACACACACTAGCATCAACAAGAAGTTATAATTCACAGTGTGTCTAAAAACTTTTTGTTAGTGGACAACATTATGTGAACAAACTGTCAACAGCTGGTGTTGCATAGCGATGAAGATGTTAGATGGAGACAGGAGACCCATGTTCTGGCCCTTAACCTCTCACCTACCTCACAGGGTTGTTGTGAGGATAAAATGGAAAGGAAGAGGACTTGTGTAAGCCACTCTGGTTGCTTAAAAGAGGAAAACATTTTGGATATAAATGTGATGATGAAGATAATTGTACTAATAGCTTGGTTTTATCCTCAACCCAGTGAGATTATTTTGAAAGTTATTTCTTTTAACCTACTCCTGCCCATAAATTCTTTGGTAGTTAAGTTGTCCTACTCGAATGTTTAAACATTCTAACAGGGAATCTTTCATCTGTCTAAGGTGGCAACATACACCCCAATTATGCCTCCCAGGCATCTATCAATAGTATATCTTCCCTCAAATACAGTGATAAATAATTCATTGCCCATTGGAAAAGAACTAGTATTTTTTAAAGACTGAATTAGATTACCTTGAAGAGGCATTTAAAAGACAATTTACCACAAAAACATTGTTAAGTATTTCATGTGCTACTGGTTGATTTGAATTTCTACTAAAATGACATTTGAATCGTAGGATTAAATGCTGTGCAATCACTAAAGGTCTTATGCTGTATGCAATGAGATTTTAAAGGAGTTGTAGGTGAGAAGCTGCTTCGTGCAAATGCCTCTGAGACAAAAAAACAAATGATGCCTCCAAAGCCAGTAAGAGGTTTGTAGCAGATTTTAATGTGGGTCCAGTATTTTCCTTAGGCATGCTATTACTCAGTGGCAAAAGCAACTTTAACATTAGAGGGGTTCTGCAGCCTTCACAGAACAATTACCAGGATGCTGTGCACAAAACTGCGTCAGTTAACCCCGTTTAAATTGATAGCGCAGAGACAGTCCTATCCTGACAACCTAGATCAGTTTAATAGGCATGGTGTCCTGCCAAGAAACCCTGGGAACTGCGAGGGTGTTAAGAATTCATACAAAGTTGCACCCCATACCCTTAGTTAATGGGATGGAATAACTACCAGTAGGATATGTTTCAGCAGCATTTAATTAAAAACAGAAAGGCCAGAAGATCCAGTCATAGATCTCCTGCTCTCTCATGCAGCCTGGCCTTGGAAAGCGCTCCTAGGAGAGGTGAGGCATATGGGGGAGCAGGCTTGAGGTGGCCCTGGCACTGCTGCCCAGTTTTGTAAGGGTCGTTATACGAGGCAATTTCAACGGCCACCCTCTGGCCGCCGGTTGACCAGAAATGAAAATAAGGGTGCTTGCTTCATAATGAAGATCACTTAATGTGGATTAGATCAACCTTTGCCCTAAGTCATATTCATTTGAAGGAGCTCATTAAAGACAATTCCCTCTGGGCAAAGCAGGGGTGCTATGCCATGGGAGATAGCATTATTTAAGCTTTTGGCGCTGTGACAGGATCGTAACTTGCCATCGATCTCAGAAATAAAATAAAATGAATGAGTTTGCCTGTACACAGATTTTAAACCTATCCTGGATGCAGACATGCCTGTTATGCCCTTCAAGTTCTTTGTATTTGAGTCGGAAGAGTCTGAGGTAAATTCCTCACAAGACTACCCGGGGCACGAGCCACTGCTTCACATTTCTGTGAGGGAAGGGAAGCGAGAATTGCAGCAAACATTCAGGGATTTGGGGCTACTTGTGAGTTGTGAGGAAAGAAAAGCAGCTTATTCGCACTGAATGTGTCTTGTGCCTAACGCCGCCATTAAAACCCGGGGGACATTCGCGTTCCTGACAGAACAAGCCTACGTGCTGTTGCCACAGAAGCGTGTGCGTCGTGCCTGGGGAGAGGACGCACACGCCTCTACGCCTTAAGAGGCAAAACCAGACGCTCCCTCATGACTCGTTGAAGGGACGGGAGAGAATACTGGAAAGCATGTTTTCAGGTGTATACCACTTCGGGGATCACGCGTTTCTGGAGGACAAGATTTGGGAACGTGCAAGACAAAGATCGTAAGATGGCCGGTCCCACGGGAGAAGAGAGACGCAGGAACAAGCGCAGCAGGGACCATCCTCAACCCCAGAAAGGCGGGAAAAGGCCGCGGCGCCAGGGCGCATGCGTGCACTCCGGGCGGGGAGGGCGCCCGCTCCCTCCCGCGGCTCCTGGGGGGGCCCGCAGTCCGAGCGCAGCTGCGGCGTCTCCGCGATGGCAGGGAGTGCGCGGGAGGCCCGGGCCTGCCTGCTGATTGGCTGGTTGGTTTTGGCTGGGTGGCTTTGGTCCAGTCACAGACTCCCAGCCCCGCCTACCTCGCAGGGTGGTTGTTGGTGAGGGTAAATGGAGAGAAGGCGGCGGAGAGCTCTTTAAGCTGCCTTGAGTTCTTTGGAAGGAAGAAGGTGGACTAGGAATACAAGGAATAATCATTTTAATCCCGGGTTGGTGAGAGCTGTGAGCGCTGCAGTAACTCGGTGATTAAGAATTTAAGAGCCATGTCACATCAACAGGAAAGCAGTCCTTCTCTCCAAGTGATAAGAACAGGCCACCTTGCCCAGCCTTCTGTTTGCACAGTGGCTGGTCAGCTGCCCACAGGGGCCCACAGCAGGGCTGGTGGACCCCCCCCCCACACACACACACTGCCCATGTTCCCCAGCAACTGGAGTCCATAGGCATACTGCTGCAGATACTGCAGGCAGCTTGAAGGCATCCAGTCTGGCAGACACAGATATCACCTTCCATGAATCTGGCCAGCCCGTCAAAGCCGTCCAGGTTGGTGGTCATCACAACTTGTGGAAGTGAATTCATTTATACTTATCTATTTATAACTGAATTTATAATCCTCATTAACCATAGTGCAGGAGGACTCTCTGGGCAGATTTACAAAATACAGGAAAACAAAACAATGCAAACAACAACCAGCCCCTATCATAAACACAAACAGTATATAACAAACATACAATAACATGCACAATAATATGCAGTGTACAACTGAGAGTTTACCTTGAAAATTAAAACAATGCAAAAATTTAAAACCAATATTTAATTCAATTAGACAATATACAAAATTAATTAAGGCCAATTATTAAAATATCTGGAACATAAACTTGTTTTGGCCTGGAGCCAAAAGGATTGTAAAGAATTTGCCAGGCAAATTGCATTAGGGAGGCTATTTCATAGATGGGGGGCAGCCCCTCTTCTCTTTGCCCTCCGCCTTACCTCCTTGGAGGACGGCTCCTTCAGAAGGGCCTCCAGACTGGATCTTAGAGGTCATGTAGGCACCTGTGGGAGCAGGTGGTCCTTCAGGTATCCCGGTCCCAAGCCATTCCCTTGTGGAACTATGTGCAGCGTACAGATTGCTCTGCAGATGCTCAGAGATATGCTCTTTAGTATTGTGAGAATGGGGGTTGAACAGGGGTCCAGGCACAATTGCCAGGTACTCTCCTTTCGCTGACCGAGCTCAACAGTTCTCTTTCTCAGTGGCTAGAATGCCTGCAAAGGGCTACCTTCCCTTCAGGTGCTTTTGCCCTAAGACCTCCAGCTACAGGACTTCTGAGAAAGCAGTTTTGGTTAGGAGGGGAG